GGCAGAGGCTCTGCGGCCCTCGTCGGCCCTAGGTGAGGGCGACACAGTCCTCGTCGGGCTCGGGCAAGGGCGATGCAGTCCTCACTAGCCCTAAGTGCAGGGAAAAAAAGAAAAAGGAAAAAAAAAGAAAATATTATTTTAAAAAGTTCACGTTTGTTCCGGTCGTGCCACGTAGGATGGCAGGCTTCTACATCGGCGATTAATGCAAAAGGTTTAGGACTCAATTGGCAAAAGAAAAAAAAAAGGTTTAGAACTAAATCGGCATAATTTGCAATAAGTTTGAGACTTTTTTAGGTAGTTTTTCCGGACACGACGGAAGGCTGAAAATGCCCGGGAATTTTCCAGGTGCAACGTACATTCGGTCGCTATGAGTGTCCAAAGGTGGAGATTCATCAGTTTGTTGACTCTTATGGTCGATCACAGCCTACGGGGTGGAAGGCCCGCCAAAGACATACAGCTGCTCACCTTGACGGGAAATTCATTGACAGAGAGATAAAGCAAATTCCACATTCAATTCAAGCCAAAGCTATAGTTTCTCATGACCGCATTTGTCGGAGTTGACCCAAGAAAATAGAGTGGGTCGTGGGCATGGAGCCCCGATTGGCCGGTTCGGCCCGATACTTGACACAGGGCGTTGAGCTATGGACAAAGCCCGATCTGAATCGGAGCACCTGGGCAACAAATTAGATCCGATTTCGGGGCCCGACCCATAGGCTTACTCGATGATCACAATCCGTGCATAGTTAGGCCTCTCCGTGGGGTTGTGGTTTGTGCTTCTCCTCTTCCGACGATATTCGCAATGCCATAATTATTCAATCGGTCCTAAATCTTTTGTACGTAAGCCAATTCAGTCCTAAATTTTTCAATTTTTTCGATTCAATAAAAAACATTTGGCATGCCAATTCAGAATATAATCGGGTAATAGTTCGGTTCGGTTCGTATATGCAATACGGTTCGGTTTATTTACCTTTTTCTTTTTTGTGTCAAACTGTAGTGGTACGACTGGCTAGTGGATCAAGATTTTTTTTTTTTTTGGGTCAAAGCTAGTGGATCAAGTTCAAATGCTAAACTTCTGCACGAATTTGAACGCCAACAATCTAATTTTTACATGTGGGAATCACTCTTGAGCAGAAGGCTTCATCCCTAGTTATAATGACAAGTGAGAATTATTCTGCCAGTGATTTTGAATTGTTTAGATGATTTACAAATACAAATGGAGTATTCATATTGTGCCCTTTGTGGATTCTAATCTACCGAGGTCAGTTGAATAGAAATGGTAATCCAAGAACATATCATCATTCGTTAATCCATCATATTTTGTGATGGATAACACGACAGCATACCGATATCTCCACTTGGGAATATTACCAAAAGAGAGCCCAAGTCCAAATTCAAGTCCGAGGCCATCAAATTATTCGGTTCGACACACACTCAGAAACTTAAGTCAATAAGTTATGCGTCAACTATGATATATTAACTGTTCCACATTACACCACATCATCAATGTGGAAGTTCTTTCGTCTAACACCCTTACATGCACACCTTGACAATTCTTCCCCTCATGTGTTAGGCCCAGCCCCCTTAATTCAAGTGTCCTTCCGCACCAACCTTATCTCAATTCGAATCTCCACCTTGACCTAACCAAGTTTGATAGATGTTGATGCGGACAATAATATCTGCCCTTTGGACTCCACCTTAATCGCCTCGACTAAAGTAGAGTCACATCCGCCACTTCGGTTAGGGAGTCATATTCACGGTTCTTTCTCAGAGATATTCACCAGATGCCAATCCACACATGTTTGGCTTGGACCCATTCAAACCATCGGTTCCGGTAATACTTCGACAAATTATGTCTCGAGCCTGAGCCCATACGTGAAAATTCAATCCGGACATTAAAATACGCAGAATTTCAGTTGGGTATTGCGCGAAAAATTGTATGTGACGTCCCCTAGTCCGGATTGGACTTGCTTGCTCAATTCGTTAGATGCAAAATAGGAAAGTTACAAAAGGGTTTCATATATGTAAGTCAAACACACAAAAAGCGTTTCATTGTATTCAAGAGGAGGGTTTTGTTTTTATGAGCCTTGAAGTGAAGTCTTCAAGCCGTCAAATAAGCCGTGAGTGTCTTCTTCGTGGTTTTGCTCAGTGACTTGTTCATCCAATCCGAGACCATCTCCTTCGTGAAATGCGCGGGCGTTTCAAGCCGCGACGTAATTCTTTGTGAGTAATTTTATTGAGCGGTCACGTGAGGCTGAAAAATTATAGTGTCTTGTGTAATATAGGGTTGCGAAATACTTAAGCAATTGAGCGATTATAATTCTGCAATTCAATTGATAAATAAATTCTTTGCGGCTAGCTCTCTCAGTAGAGTATCGATGCTCGGATAGAACCACATGAATCTCCAGTGCTCTGATTTTTATGCTAGTTTCATCCTTTCGCATTTCATTTGAATTGTGCAATCGGTTAGCTTTCGTGTCATTTCACTACATTTTGTAATATGCCCAAGAGGAAAAACCATCATGCAATTTGCCATGATATCGATCATTGAGGGATAGCAATTTAGCTGACTGGTAATAGACACATCCAACCCCCCCTCCAGCTATTAATTTCGTTATTTTTTTCCTGTTGGTAAGGAAGGATAGCTTATTGAATTTTTATATTTGCATGCAGAATCTACAAAAAGTTTGGTTTGAACAAGTTGTCTTGAATGCGCCACACATTTTTTTCTGAATGCTATCTATAATGGAATTACTTCAATTTGTAATAAAATACTGATATGGCATGCATTTAATACGATAGGAGGGAATTATGGCTCAAACGGAATGTTCCGTCGTAGGTGTGAAATTCATATAATGATGTTCGGGAGATTTCATATCATCCATCTTCGCGTTTTTCTAGACTACAAAAAATTATTTCATGAAAAACGTTTCACAGTCCGTGCACACACAAAGGGCAGTAAAAGAACCCAAAAAAAAAAAATCTAATTTTAATCTTAAGGGATTGACCGCACGGATAAATAATTGGTTTGAATGTAGAAGATTTGTTTTCGAATCATAATGTGTAATTTACTCAGAATAAACTTAAGGGTCGCACTCGCATTATCCTGTAAATGCAACCTCACTTTATCCACACGGTCATGACGGTCTGGACGTATTCATAGAGATTAATTAAGTAGAAAGTTGAATACTCGAGCTATTATAAATAAATAAAAAAAAGGAAAAGAAAAGACTTATTTAGTGCATTATTGATGTAGAGTACATGAACAAAAAGCTCAATAAACAATACCTGACAGAGTCACAGTGTTTGCTTATCATGTCTTCATAAAACATAATATGCTATCATGTTAAGCTAAGACCTTGTACTGGTCATGGCCTGCCTCCAAAGATTTCTGAGTTGTCAAATCTTATTTTAAGTTGAAGAACTTAGAGCAATGTCCTAATTTCTACCCCAGAAGAGAAGTGGGAATGTAATAAAGAGCAAAGGGCTAAGTTTATAGAGTGTTGAGCAGCTATTTTGGGGGCGTGTTTTGCCTCTCTTTTTAGTTTTTATGGTATCTAATTAGCGCTATGTCGCTAGCTATGTTTTGAGATGCGATCACGATTAGATGGTATCTAGAGTGAATTTTCACGCAGGCCCACCTAGATCTTGAGAGCATTGTTGGATAGAACTTCTCGGCATTCGTTTTGGCTATGAAAATGAGCATTGCAGCTTTTAGAAGATAGTGGAAAACACTTTACAATTGCAGCAATTTACGGCAACTTCTAAGATTTTATTTCACCTAACCTTTTTAGGCGCTGCAACTTTAAAACGTGTAAGGAAAATTATTGTACAAGTCATAAAACTTATTAATTTCGTGTGTTTATATCCTAAAACTTTGGTTTCGTGTATTTAAATTCTAAAAACTTATTGACTTTATGCACTCGAGTCTTTCCATTATCTTTGTGGACAAAAAACGCCATGTGGATTTTTTTTATTGCATTTTCAATCTTATGTGACCATTAATGTGGCGAGGGAGTGCTCCCAATACCAAAACGACCATTAATGTGGCGAGGGAGTGCTCCCAATTAGGAAACTTTAAAAAAAAAATGAAAATATTGTAGCAAATTAAAATCGAAAGTAAAAAACCAACCGGAAAAATACAAAAATAGGACTAAAAATAGAAAAAAGACGACGGCACGGCAGGGGCGGCACCGCCACCACTACCGCCACCGCCCTCTGGATGCTCACCCCGATCCTTCATCTGCTATCTTATTTTTTTATATATATAATTTGAGATTATTTGTGGATTTTAAGTTTTGTTTATTCTAGCTTTGTTCTAATTATCCGATGTGGCGTTAAAACGACCCCCTCTTGCATGTGGATGCACGAAACGAAAATTTCAAGACTTAGGCTGTGTTCGTTTGCGGAAAAATATTTTTCCGGAAAATATTTTCCGCGTTTTCCGGTGTTCGGGGACGGAAATTTTCCTTCCCCGTCCCCAAATCCTTCATTGTTTTGAGGAAAATGATTTCCTCTTTTCACAAAGAGGAAATCATTTTCCCCCAAATTGAAGGTAAAATTGCTCATGGGAGGGAAAATATTTTCCGTGGGAGAGGAAGTTGATCGCCGGTCACCACCGTTGGCCGCCGGTCGCCGGACGCCCGCCGCCGCCGGCCGCCAGTTACCGGACGCCCGCCGGCCGCCGCCGGTCGTCGTTGAAAAATATTTTCCGAAACTTTTTCATATTGGTCGCCGAACACCGGAAAATTATGTTCCGGGAAAACATTTTTCAGGAAAATGACTTCCAGAAAAATATTTTCCAAAAAGAGAATATTTTCCACCAAACGAACGGAGCCTAAAGTGCACGAAGCTGACGAGAAACACGCCGTACTAAAAGATGGTCTCAAGCACGTTCGTGGCTAACATGGAACACGTACTAGACAATGGCCTCAGGCATGTCATGGCCGCAACGGCCAAAGCAGTTTGGGAACAATCATTGAAGAAAACGAACGGGAGAAAGAGGCGAACACGACAACAAAGGTAGGAGGAGGAGGAGGAGGAGGAGTCCACGAGACGAACAGAGTAATGGGAGGAGAGAAACTTCTTTCTTTGATTGGGTCGATTTGACTTTGATTCGTCTTTTCTTTATGGGATAAAAGAGCTTCGCTGGCTGGTACTCATTTCGTTTCATTAGTTGGCGAGCCTCACATGGCCTTTCTTTGGCCCTTCCCATCATTCATCAATCACACCAAACCCCCCCACAAGAAGTTATAATTGTATTTTGGTACCCCAGATCACAGCAAGCGCTGGAATAAAGAGGAAGAAGAAAGAAGAATTGTCAGGAACATTCCTGTGGGAAATCACCACTGAAAGAGAGATCATTGGGGGGTTCACTTTTGAGCACATACCCACAAGGAGAAAGAGAAGGAACAGAGAGATTTTGGGAGATAGGCTTGTGTTGTGGGGGTGCTGCAGTCACTTTCCTCTGCTTCTTTTTCCCTGCTTTTTGGAAGGAGAATATACATACATTAAGCTGAGCTGGGTCTTCATGGATACTTTGAGGAGAAGAACCTTGCTCAAGGTCATAGTTCTTGGTGACAGCGGGTATACTCTCTGTCTCTGTCTCTCTCTCTCTGTAGAAATTTTTCGCCTGAAATTTCTTTTGGATATAGCTGATGCTATTGAAAATGTGATGAGGTTTCTAATTTGATTGAGTTTTTCCAGCGTGGGAAAGACCTCCTTGATGAACCAGTATCCTTCACAGCAATGTCATGTTTATTTCGCAAGCATCACTCACATGCCTGAAGCAGATTAGTTGTGCACTTCACTCATCATCCATCTAACCAGATATGGTTGAATTTACAGTCCCTCTGTTATGTAAGTCGTCGTAAATGATTTGACTCCCACAATCTCCATGTCTGTTTCTTGGTTCTCTACGCAACAGGTCGCAACTCTGGCTCTGAGGAGCAGGCCAATCTCCATTTCAGCAATAGTTCTGGGTTGAGAGAATCTGTTTACCAGTTGATAATTTTAAAATATCAGTTTTTTATTAGTGAAGCGTGGCGTATCGGTCATGTGAAATACTTTCTCATTTCTGTTTCCTATTTCTTTTAGAGGATTTCCCGGAAAGTAGTTTGTCAACACAATGCTTGCAACAATTACCACAGCGAGCTGAAAGCTTAAGAATGTTTTAGAACAGAAAATATGTGTTTGTAATTGTACCATACCAGGTGATACTAACTTGAGCTTCTGTACACTGGTTTAATCTAAATGCATACTTGGATGCTTTTTGCTAGTAATCTGCTTGAACCCTTGACTGGCTATTCAGATACGTGTACAAAAAGTTCAGCCAACAGTACAAGGCTACGATCGGAGCCGATTTTGTCACTAAGGAACTGCAGATTGATGACAAACTGGTCACTCTACAAGTAGGTGACTCAATTTTGTTTCTTCTTTTCTTCTTAGATCCATTTCAATCTGTTTGTGAAAATATTCATAAGTCACATGCGTTTGTTGTTCGGCAGGTGTGGGACACGGCAGGGCAGGAACGGTTTCACAGCCTCGGAGCGGCATTTTACAGAGGTGCAGATTGCTGTGTCCTTGTATATGATGTCAACGTTGGTAAAACCTTTGAATCTGTCAGCAATTGGCACGAGGAGTTCCTTAAGCAGGTCAGCAGCTTATTAACCTCATATGATATCTTCGATGATATTCGACTTGACATTTGGAAAGTTCCGTCAAGGTCGAACTTCGAATTGGCAATAGCATGAATGCGCTTCTGAATGATTATTTGAAAAGCACATGAGAGATATATTGAATCTTCTTCAATTATCTTAAATGTGATTTCATGATCAATAAAGTTTATTGATTTTCTTTCTTCCCCATATATTGTCTTACTCTGGCCAGGCAGATCCGGCAGATCCGGAGGCGTTCCCCTTCATATTGCTCGGGAACAAAATAGACATAGACGGCGGTCACAGTCGTGTGGTATTTAGCAAATGCAAAACACAAAACTTGGCTTTACAGAAATTTCTTTAATGAATCATAGTGTGAATGGTTATATCTACTTGCAGGTTTCTGAAAAAAGAGCAAAGGAATGGTGTGCTTCCCAGGGAAACATTCCGTACTTCGAGACCTCAGCAAAAGAAGGTTACAATGTCGATGAAGCATTTTTGTGCGTCGCGCAAGCTGCGCTCGCGAGTGAACACCAACAAGACATGTGAGTCCATCTAAAAAAACACACTCTCAATCTATTATTCTATACCTTCTCAATATAAAGTGAATATGAGCTATTTGCAGTAATTTTAATGCAGAAACTGATTCTTTCAATTCAAACTTCCTTTAGGTTTGGATTTGACAGTGCTGGTTTTTACTCTGGATGATTATTTGCATAACAGAAATGCACCTAAATGAAAAGCATCTTCCCACAACTTAAGGGTATATTTGATCTTTAAGCAATAACCACGGGACTGGCATTCATCATTTAGCTCAGATTTTGTGTTAAAACTACAATTACATGATCTGTACAAGAGAAAGAAAACCAAAACCCCTTTAGTTCTATACTTGGTTACGACCTACCAATCACATTGCCTACTCAGCCCCATTTTCCCTATAGATGCATGTACTTTTACTTTAAGAGAGGGTCACAGATAAGTTCAATGTGCAGTTATTTCCAGGGAATCTCAGAAACTGTTTCCGAAGTCGAGCCAAGAGGTGGCTGTGCTTGCTGAAGTATGCTTCCTAAAAGATTTGCATGGTCTTACTTCGATTCTTTCACAATATTCTACACAATTTTTTTTACATGTTGGGGGTTGGAAAGAGGCAGGTGCCCCAAACGCATCGAGTGGCTCGCACCAGCATTCTTTTTTGGGGAATAATGTAATTCGATTCTCAAAAGTAGTCTCAGACTGCTTTAACCATGAAATTCATTATTCTCGAGGCATAAAAGAAAGATACTACATGTATGTCTGTGGGTCTGTGTTATATCAGCTCCAAATTCAACATTTTTAATCTGCAATTTGATCATTTCTCCAAGCTAGTGCCAAGATCATATTCCTAGCATGCTGGACATCTCCCTTTGCAACTATATTGCATCTTCTTTGAATAGAAGTGAGGCTGTAACTGGATTATCTAACAGTGCTTCATGCTTTTGCCCAATTTCCAACTGCCAATGAAGATTTACAAGGCCTCCAATCACACTTTGAGCACTTAGAGAATCTGTTTAAATGATTGCTTCACTGGTTTTATGGCATTAAACTACCAGACAGCTTCCCTAATGGCCATGCATTTTTCTTTCACGGCTAAACTTCATGCGAAATGCCAAAGCATTGCCATCAAGCAAGAAAACTACCATTATCCCAGTCAGAGATACCGGATATAATGTTTCCATAGCAATCAGCGATTTGGGGAGAAAGCTTTCTTTTACGATGCATTAGTGACTCACGCTAAAATAAATGTCCCTAGGGTTTCTATCCTAATACTTATGTTACATTCACTAGATACATTCTTTATCGCTGATATCTCGTGTTTGAAAATGTTACCTTCACATCTATCAGCACTTTGCAATCTCCTTCTATAATAGCTGGCGCCAAGGCATATCATCCATCCCCTGGAAAGCCAGCAAGAAAGCTTCAGCCTCTGCAGGAGCTGCATTTATACATCTACACTTTCTTCTCCATGCCTGTACACATTTGCCTTCATCATCTTTAGCTGAGAAAGCAAGAACATCTTACCATTCTTCCACGCTGCATCACAGTTGAGCTTTAGTATCGCAAGTAGGTTTTTTGAGCCATCAACCCCTCTTTCTGTCATAATTTTGTTTTAGGCATCCTTCTGCCCTTGTGGCATTAAGATATTCCTTCCACTCAGCAATGACTCACTCTAGGGACTTGCAACATGTCAGGTAGAAGAATGAAACATTCCGTTAATGTAAGGACTTATTATACGAGATCATTAAATGATCATGCCTAACTCAGATCTAGGATCCCGGATTTGTAAGGTTATCATCTCAACCATGTTACTCACTAATGGTTTACAGGCGGTCATTTTTTGTGGATGCCAAATCACTATTAGGGACATAGAATGATAATAATATGGTAGAGGCCAAAATATTCTATAATCATCATCCATAACCACTTCCACTGTAGATAACTGGGAGGAGGAGCATATTGAATGCCAACTATGTCAATCCTGGATATTTCACAATAAATTTGAAGCGGGAGCAGAAATATCATATGGAATGAAATAAATGTATCAAGGACGTTAATGAAAGCATGAAACAAATGAATGAAATATGATTAATTCCAGCCACAATTCAAAGGACTCCCACTTTTTTGAGAGGAAAAGCTTAAGAAGGAACAATTCCTTTTCAATCCTTCTGATTGAGAAGTTCCTGATAATAACAGAGCTCCAATTTCCTAATTCCGTTTTCAACGAGAAGTCACGTAGTGATATGTTTGATGTATGATCAACTCTTGAATCCATCTTAGCCATCAATTTAAGTACAGAAGAAAGAGGAAATAGATACCGTTGCAAAGAGGAGCTCCTCATGACATTTTTCCAGTTAGTGCTTAGAGGGAGCACAATCCAGAGGAACTAATCTCTCAAGGTTGAAGTTCATTTTCCACTCCCATCAATTAGTTTTACCATCGACATGGCCTTGTCACCTATGAAAGAAATTCATTCTCGAGACTCGAAGCTTCCATCTCCTTCAGATGCTCGAGAAAAATTCTCAAAACCATGTAGATATCAACCTCTTGGATGTGATTCTTATCCCCAGTTACAAATACATGATTTTTATTTTTTACTTCAAGCCAGCTGCAACCAGGGACTCTCATCATCCCTTTCTCTCTCATGTCCTTTCTTAAAGTCGAGACACTCTGCCATCTGCCGGCTACAGAATGTGCATTAGACATCATTATGTAGGATGATACGTCTTTAGGATCCAAAGCCAGAATTCTTTTAGCTGCCAGTTCCCCCAATTCAAAATTAGAATGAATTTGGCAGCCTCCAAGCAATGCCTTCCAAAATCCAATTCCTGGATCAAAAGGCAAATCTTTAAGAAACTCTTCTGCTTCTTCGAAACGCCCGCACCGAGAAAATAAATCAACCATGCAGGCATAGTGCTCTGGTTTTAGCATGGTGGGATTCTCCAATCTACCCTTATTGAAGTAGGAATAACCCTCATCGACAAGTCCCGCATGATTACAAGCCCACAACAAACCAAGATAAGAGACACTATTAGGCTCGAATCCCATGGTCCGCATTGTCTCAAAGAAGTTAATGGCTTCCTTTGCCTCCCCATTCTGTGCAAAACCACATATCACGGCATTGCACGAAACACGATTTTTCTCCGCTAGCTTATCGAAAACCAAAAGACTATCTTCCATGCTTCCACATTTCGCATAACAACTGATTAATGAGTTGGCCACGAACACACCGAACTTATCCAAGCACTTAATTGCAAAGCCATGGAAGCTTCTGCCTATCCCAAGAGCTGCAATATTGGCAGATGCCGTTAGAGCACATGGGAAAGTGGATTCATTAGGCATAAACCCTTCCCTGAGCATCCTGATGAATAGATTGACAGCCTCCTCACTATGACCAGCTTGGCTATGGCCACAAATCACTGCATTCCAAGAAACCACATTTTTCTCCGGCATATTCTCAAAAAGAGCTATAGCATCATCAAAGCTACCCCTTTTCAGGTACCCACTTATCATAGTCGTGTAGGATACCACATTGGGCTCCCTGGTATCTTCGAAAGCTCTTCGAGCCTCGTCAAGAGTGCTCAACTTGGCATACGCATCCAAAACCGCACTGCCCACAAACACAATCGAGTGGAGGCCCATCTTCATCGCACAAGCATGGAGCTGCTTTCCCACACGGACGTCGCCAAGCACGGTCGACGAATGAATTGCAGTGCCGAACGTGAATTCATTGGGCCTTATATTCGAAGCGAGCACCCTCGAGAAAAGATGGATCACCTCATCGTGACGGTGGCTACGAGCGCACCGGCCGAGCAAGGCCGAAGCTGACACCACGTCCCAGTTGGACAATTCGTCGAACAACTCATGGGCATGCGACGACGTGTCGATCTCGGCACCACCTCGGAGGGAAGCATCTGTGGAGTAAGCTTCTGGCGTATCAACGAAACGTTTGCAAGAATTCGAGCGAACTGCGACGTTGAATTGCTTGAATCTTGAAGGAGAGAGCAGCGCCAATGTCGCTCGACCGATGATGGGTTTCATCAATCATGGCACTTTCACGGGCGATCGTGACCGGATCGGCGATACGCCGACGGACGGTGCACGACCGCCGGAACCACCGCACACGGCGGTTCTCTCTGTTAACGCTAGACTTTCCGATTGCCTAGTATTCAGACGGTCGGCAATCCAAGGTTTAACGTTTTTATCATATGAGAGGGAGATCAAAAATCGGAAATTTTCTAATTAGCCCCTGAATTTGTTTCATTTTTGCAAGGGAAAATTACACAAACAGTCTTTAAACTTTGACTCAATATGTAATTTGATCCATGAACTTTTAATTTGTTCAATTTAGTCCCTGAACTTTAGGCTAATATTCAATATGGTCCCTGAACTTTTATTTTGTTCAATATCATCCTTAACTTTTGGTATATATTCAATTCAGTCCCTAAACTATATGAAAATGTTGAATATAATCTCTGAACTTGAATTAATGGAAAAAACTGGATAGAACATTTTCATATAATTCAAGGACTGAATTGAACATGTATCAAAAGTTTATGGATGGTATTGAACAAATGAAAGTTCATGAACCACATTACATATTGGGTTAAAGTTCAGGGACCAAATTGCACATTGGACTAAAGTTTAAGGATCGTTTGTGTCATTTTGCCTTTTTGCAACACACCCCCAATACTTTACTCGAATTACCTCTTGCACTCAATACATCCGTGTCAATGAAACCCTTAAACTAAACACAGGTGAAAAAAAGATCACCATCCCTCTGTTTGTTCGCGAAAAACGAATGATTTGGAAAAAAATTTCTTAAAAGCGATTGCTTGTATTGCTTGAAATAATTAGTCAATAAAAAATATTTTCACTAGCAACAATCATTTATGTCTAAATATTTTCGTGGACAATGAAAATATTTTTCATTCATTTTTGCAGACGATACAAGTCATTACTTTTAAAAATCAATTCATTTTTAGTGAAACAAACAAGACCTAAAGAAAATGCACCCGCCACTTGCACAAATTTACATGTGGGAGGTGCACATGCCCGGCCGACGACTTTGTCATTGAGGTTTGGCTTTTGGGGTCTATTTGACACAAATGTAGGGGATTGTTTGAGAGAAGATCGAGTATAGGGGTACTTTGCAAAAAGGTTCTTGATCCAGGGGCCTAATTGAAATTTTTCCGGGTAAAAAATTGCTATAGGTGTGAGATATGGGAGAGGAAAAGCTGCTTTCTCTTTTGCCATTTAAAGAAAAGAAGAGTGGGGAAACAATTTTCTTCGACGAAAAAAAAAAAAAAGCTTTACAACCGATAAAAATAGATACCTAATCGATTTATCTTTTCAAAAGTCTAATTTTACTTTTCGATATCCACATTGCCATACCTCATTGGGTATGACCAGTTTTCAAAATTTATTGATGATACCCGTTGCGTTTTTCATTTCGCTTCTAGAAGTCCGACGAATCATAAAAAAATCAATATATTTTCCTCAAAAACAGACGTATATTAATATATCGTCAAAACTTTTTTGTCTAACAATTCAAGTATAATGAGATTTGCCAAGACACGATGAAACGAGAATTTACATAATTTTTTTCTTTTATGTACGACAATTTTACATTTTCATGACTATTATTATGCATGTATTCGTAAATTTAAGAAAAATGAAAAAAAAAATCAAAAAATATTTTTCCTAATTATACGAAGAGGGACATGAATAAAATTTGGCGGCCTCAAAAAAAAAATGAAGAAATTTGCATTTTTTTTTCCTCCAATACAAAAGGAAAAATATCAGACGGAAATTAGTCAAACTTCTATTCACCTCTCTCTCTCTCTCTCTCTCTCTCTCTCTAGCTCGCAAATGGCGTTTTCTGCAACAGCCATGAACGGCCCTCCTCTTCTCCGCGCCGTGCCTAGCTACGCTTCACCGTCGCCGTCGCCGGCGACGGCGGTCTCTTTCCGCCGCGGTCCGATTTCCCTCCGATTGCGCAGCCTCGACGCCAACCGGAGGAGGAACGCCCCGATTCGATCGGCTTCTGTTTCAGGTATTGCGGTCTCCGCTTCGTTCTTCCTGTTCGTGCGGCGGTGCCGTCGCGAGGTTAGCGCGTGGATGCGACCGGCGATGGCGATGACGCGCCTTGGCTTGTTGTTGTTGTGGAATGGCGAATTGGTGAAGTGGCGGGATTGTTTTGATGCGGAAGGATCGATCATTTTAGAACGTGTGGAGTGCTTGTGCGGCATCTGTTGGTAGTGCGATTTCCTCGATGCTGTGTTTGGATATTCCTCTGAAGAGGAAGGAGGATCTTAGCACAGGCTTACCTTTCTCTTCGTGAAGTGATTGCGTCTTTAGTTTTCGGCTCGCAATTTGATGAAACTTATTTTTGAGTTATTCGTTACCGTGTGGCACCTAGAGAAGTTGTCGATAGTAAATGGTTGAAAGTAGGAATCGCGGAAGTCTGAAATGTATGTGTCCTTATACTTGCTTCAAACAAACTTTGGAAGATGTTTCGCGGACAAATTGATTGCAAATGGTGTCGAAAACGTGATTTGCTGGATCAAAGACACTACTTCTAGTCAAACTATTCAGTGATGTAGCAGGGATAGACATCGGTGTCTAGTGTCTACTGCTTTTTTATGATTATCGGAACATTTTGGAGAAAGGGGGAGACATGGAAAATCATTTTCTGGTCGTGTGAGCTCTCATTGCCTTAAAGATTAGGCTAAATTACTGCAAATCTGATGTTACCCATGATGCTGGACAGTGCAAATTACCATTTGTCTTTCAGTTATTTTTTTCTCAGTTCCTCTAGGACCATAATCTGATTTACGGATTGTCCTTTACGTTACAGCTGCGCCAGCTTCTGAGCAGCTGAAGCCTGCCATCTCCCTCACAGACAATGCTCTGAAGCACTTGAACAGGATGAGATCTGAGCGCAGTGAAGATTTATGTCTCAGAATTGGTGTCAGGCAGGGTGGATGCTCTGGCATGTCTTACACAATGGATTTCGAGAATCGGTCAAACGCAAGGCCTGATGACTCCATAATTGAATATAACGGTTTTGTTATAGGTAGAGCTCTGCACTTTTTATTTATTAGTTATTTTGCCGTTATCTCGTAAGTAAGAAAATAGCCACTGGAACTGCAACCTTGGTTTTATCATGAGTCCTGTGTGGATGCTATATTTTTTTATTTGTAGATGCCGCAGACAACAGATGTATGTTGCAAAAAAGTAGAAATCGTAGATTTTGTAGAGGATCTTCAAATATTCGGGGTTCCTAATTTTAAGCCTTTGAAGGTACCATTATTCAAGCTTATGACGGAACCTGGTTTTTTGTAGTTATCCTTTTATTTTCTTGAATTGGGCATTATCATTTGGGTCTTCTTTGGATTCTCTTCTTTATCTATCTAATGTCATTATTACCGTACTTCTTGTTGTCATCATCCATCATCATCTTTGACATTTACTTTAGATCTCAGATTTTACCTTTTTGGGTTTTAGATTTTCGTAGGCAATAGGTTGCCTGTCATTTCTCAGGAAAACATTGAAGATAGTTAACAGTGCTTTAGATGACAGACTGAAGTACTTGACCCTCCAACCAAAAAAAAGAAGTACTTGACCCTTCCAGCTTAGGATTAGTGTTTTGCTACTCAGCTAGCCATTTTGAGTGGTGATGTGCCTCAATGGCTTCTAATACAGATTTGTTGTCTATGGCTTCTAATAGAGTAGATTACTCAGAATATCTGCATTTTCTATTTTAGTTTTTAGACATGATGCTTGCACAACACTTCTATCCCGTTCCAAGTCCACAATTATTCTGTTTATGATCATGGCATCATTCAATCTCAAGTGACAGATATGATCAACCTGTCTTTGGTGGCTAAGCTACATAACAACCTCACTTCTTCTGTTTGATTGTCATTCGTAGTGGATGGGAAAGATAATTTACAAGTTTGATATATCATTTTGGAAGTTTCTGGAACTTGCTGACATATCAATGTTATTGCAGTTTTATACATGCTTTGCACTGTATCTATTACGTTTTCCAATTATATCGACTGATTAAATTCATTTTAGGACAGCCTTGTATATTGCACGATAAAAATTTAAGTAGAAATTCTATTAAACATGATTTTCCTCAACAATTGGACTGAAAATATCACAGATCAAGTTTTGTGTTTGATGGAGCCTGTGATGAACCTTTTTAATTCTATATTGGGAAAGTATTCAAGTGGGAAGGAGAAAGAATTTGCTTAAGTGTCCTAAGAGTCAAAATTGAGCTGCCAGAATTTCAAGTTCTTCCTGTGGGTCTGTGATGGATGGTCAAAAAACCTCATGCATCATCCATTGTGATGCAGTGTGCTTTACAGTTGAATGACAATTCAACATTTCGTCTTTTCTATTCCGGTGAATTGCCTGAAAGGACTTCTTTCATGTTAGACCAGATCTTCCCTTAAGCTAGTCTATTTGCTGAAGAATTCCACGCAACAGACAGTTTTACTTTGTTTGTTTCTTGAATTTGATATAATTGATGTCTGTCTGCTTAGTCAACTACCTAACTCTTCTCTTTTTGGTGGAACAACCCACTCAAATTCTCCACGCTGATTGCTGACTACAAAGAAATAATCTATTGCCTCTCTACTATTGAGTTGACAAATGTATTAACATCAGCAACTTGATTTGGCTAAATCAGATTGTTGAGTGTATTGAGAGGCTTAACGCTAAACATCCGGATATTTTATTCCAGCAAAGACCAGATTGTACATGAATTAATGCTAAAGCCTAACACAATGAAGTATGCTACCTGCGTAGTTTCTGCAGTTCAAGTGGAAGACATTATATTTTAGTACAATTTTCTGCTTATGTGATCTCTGGCTTACATATGGCAGACGATGTAGAAATCACTTTCCAATACATTACTTTGATTTTATGAGAGTTCTGATGCTATCTATTATCCTAAAATCATCTGCTGGTCACTTATAATTCCCTGTTGCCTCTGCAGTTTGTGATCCAAAGAGCCTTCTCTTCTTGTACGGGATGCAGTTGGACTACAGCGATGCTCTGATTGGTGGAGGCTTTTCATTTAGTAACCCAAATGCTACCCAAACATGCGGTTGCGGCAAATCCTTTGCTGCAGAGATGTAAGTTAATGCAGAAAAAGCAAACTGAACATTATGTTAAAAATTAGCTAGCGAGCGAACGTGAACCCTGTGGATTAAACTCAACCTCTTGGTTGAAGATAGTTGTTACAGCTATAGTGTATCTATTATTAAATAAATTATAAGGTCTTTATCTCCGCGACTCTTTGGGAAACTCTCTCATTTAGCTGCACATGTTGTCTCTGTAACATCATTAGGAGCTAACCTGTCAAACTTGGAATGGTTGCGGTAAAGCGATGAACCCACATGAAACTAGTTCCAAATCCTGGAATATCCTCGTCTTCTGCCCTTCAAACAATGAGAATCTATTCATTGGAAATAATCGTTAGCTCTTGTTTTCGATTCCTTTTTTTTTCCTTGTTGATAGTTAACGCTGTTTGCAAATATCAGAAAATTTCTGCTGAACTGTTCTTCATCCTAGAGTGCAATATGTTAAGATTGTCGAAGAATGATGAAAGGGTTAAGTCTATACTAGATAGTCTCGTAAGTCGCCTAGGTTTTACGATTAGGTTCTTAAAACCTTTTGTGGTGAAACTGGTGCAGAAGTTTCTCTCAGACGAGGCAAGTCATGCCGAAGTTCTTTCTTTCATTCGCCATGTTACTCTCTTTTTTCGTTTACTCTTTAAAGACCAAATGGCCTTTGTTTCATGGTATGAGATGGTTGCAGCGGTGCTGCCATGCCATATTCAAATAGCACAGGTTCAGTCCATTTGATGCATAGCTTCATGAAATGGTATCAACAGCTAAAAAGGGGGTGCGAAAGGGATTAGAGGAATCGCGGTTGGGTTGACAACTTCTTGCACGCACCGACACGATTTGATAGGTTGGTTGGAAACGGATATCGAGCGATCTGAAATTGGCATGAATTTGGGCCTCTCTTGTACGGCGTGTTCGATAAAGAATATGGCTTTTGCAATGCCGTTTACGTGATTGACAAAGGGGAACTGCGTAAACGGATGGCTGTGATAAACTTGATCCAATAAATCCAAATACGGCTGTGATGAACTCTATCTATTAGATCCAAATACAGGCAAGGGGATTTTCCTTAGATCACCAAATGGTAGGCTCATTTTAATTTTGTTCATGATGATCGATACTAATTTTAGGGAATATCAAGAAAAAATTAATTCAATAATAATAGCGGACGACAGAGCCAATATTGGACTTTATTTTCTACTGAAAAACCTACAAGTGCCTAGAATGGTCTAGACATGTTTGAGATGACAGGACACCAACCATCTCAGCTTGAATTGGTACAATGAATATTATTGATATTTTCATGTAAAATAAAGTTTTTTTTTCTCCTGTCAATGTGGAACAATCTTTCAAACCCCATCCATGTAAGAGAAAAAAGAATTAGGTAAATATACTGCTAAAAACTCCGAGTTGCGCCGACTATGACATTAATACTCCAAACCCGTTTTCTCATTGAAATCCCAAAAATTAAATATCGATGTAACAAAAATACCTCCGTTTACCTATAATAACCCACTAAACTTTGCCCACCATAACATCAATGCCTAAACTTCTTTTTTTTAGTGCCTCGAATATCCAAAACTTATAATAATGTGACAAAAGTTTAGGTGTTAGTATTTCAGTGGGTCTAATTTAGGTATTTTTGGTGACACTTGACATAATTTAGGGTACTCAATGACAAAAAAATAAAATTCAAGATATTTATGTCACGACAGGCCTAATTTAGGATTTTCGGCAGTATTTGATTTCAATTTTTTCGGAAAAATGATGATTTTATTAAAAAGTATATTCTTATCAATTAATTGATGGGGAAATATTACAACCTTTCAATAGCCAATTTAATTGTAGTTCAAGCTGTTAGTTAGTATAAAACGTGCCACGTTCGTCGTTCTTCTCCGGACAGCAACAGAAGATGTCTCTCGAGTTTGCCAGCTTGAGAGCTGGTTTCCGTGGCCTCACGGCCAACCCCGCAGCCGCCGCCGCCGCCGCCGCTCCGTCGCCGTCGAGGTCCCACCGCCGGAGGGTTCCCGATTTCTACAGCCCATGTCTCCGTCGCGGCGGGACTCCTCACCCCGCGCCGGCAATCGCGAAGGCGGTCATGGAGACGAAGGAGAGCGTGGCGGCCTCCGCCGCCTCTAGCCCCCCCGTGAGAATCGTCGCCGTCGTCGGAGAGGGCGCGTTGAGCCCGCTTAAGGGCGCGACGTGGAGCGAGGTCATGCTCCACACTGTAAGTATCGAGATGGGCCGTAGCCAATCTCTGTTTTGGTCCGCAAATTTCGTGTGTTTGTGTGCGCGCGCGCGTGCAAGAAAGGAGTCGCCTTTGCAACAGGGGAAACGAATGTCGTTTAACTGTTGTTCTCTGTTGCGGTAGAGAGCGGACCGATAGTGATTCATGCTATAGAGGAAACTCAATCTGAGAGATAGAGATGACTACTTTAGTTACATTGGAAATTCTTGGAAAATTCTTCTTACTATCACTGGAGGGATAATTATAGCATTGGTATTAAAAGTTAAAACTCATCCCAAGTGCAATTGTCCTGAAAGTTTTTTTATTGTGTAATTGATTCCTTAAACTTTTTGGTTATGCGATCAAGTCCTAAATCTTTTAGCGCATCGTGTAAGATTTTGGTCGGATTTAGTTGACAGATTTGATTGATGGACTTGATTGACAGTTTGCACAAAAGAGCGTGTTTTAGGACTCAGATGCACTTTGGGCATAAGTGAAGTGGATGCTGTTTCGATTACTGTTTCAATCATGACTGGTCTCTTTGGTTTTTCACTTTTTGGGTAATGTACTATCCGAATTCGTGGAAATATAAATTCGTTTTCATTCTCTTTGTGACCAGGCAAAGAGACTGAAATGGGTTGATGATGGATTTGAAATGCATGTGTTCACAGATAATTTCTGCCAATTTAAGGATCAGGCATCTGCAAAACTTCGGGAGGAGCTGAGACATGCAGACATTTTGGTTATCGTTGCGGTAACGAGTCAGGAATCAGTGAAGTGGATTGAGAGAAACAGCGGAAATATCCAGAACATAATCAGCTTTGATTCATCCCCAAGTTTAAGTAATAAACTAGGTGGATCAGTTGTTCAAACTGAAACAAAAGGGACCATCTTTGGGAAACTGGTGGGAACATTTGAATCAAAGCAAACCAAAGAGAACAGTCAAGTAATTGAAACAGTATCTGAGGCCTGGATGCGTCGCAACTCCGATGATATAAGGTTCTGTTTGTTGGTCGTAATCAATGCTTACATAAGGCCAGTTCCAATTCTAAAAAACCTGAGGTCAAAGGGTTTTTCTACATTGAACTGCATGGTGAAGAACTGCGGGCCTCAGATATTGAACTGCCTCCTGGATCCCAATTGTAGAAAGGCTCTTCAGTGCTTGAACCAGTGTAGTCCCGTGGATCAGGTTTGCAACTATAGATGTATTGCGTCATATGAGAGCCCGAACTTGGAAGCATTTTCTTTGTGTGTCCTGCAGAAGAATAATTGTCTGGAGTTGGATGCGGCAATCCCTGAAAAACCATTCGTCCCACCCATGGTTAAGTTTCGAGGCGAGAAGATCTGCCATGAATCTGCAGAAGATCTCTTTGTGGGATGGTTAGGTAATCTTGATTGGAGTTGGCGTGTCGTAGCTGGTCAAAACCCGGCTTATGATCATTTCCCGTGCCAGTACCAGCTATTTTACAGAGGAAAAGCGAAAGGGTCCTTTTGGTATGAGCCGGTTTTTCAGGTGAAAACTCTGGAGGGAAAGATGGTCTGGAGGAGGCGCAAGTACCGGGTCAAGAGAGGCAAGATCCCGGGGACGTTTTACTTCAGTGTTTTGGATAATGGAGTGGTTTCAAACGAGTTCTGGACTATCGTTGATGTGTCTGATGATCTCAGCTGGGGTTTGTTTCACTACAGCGGAGCAGCACGAGCCGCGGGGCAGTCCTATACTGGTGCAGTGCTTGCGAGTCCGGACGGGCAGTATCCGAAGGAGATGGGTGACGGTCGATTAGCGTCGGCGCTTGAGAAATGCGGAATAAAAGATTGGGAGCTTTATACCGTCGACAACTGCTCATGTCTTGATCCTCCGCTTGGGATACCTGAAGGTTCAAGCTTGCATCGCATGATTCAACTTGACTAAGCAAAGTTGCAAGAAGATAGCAGAAGCTGTATCGTGTAGGCTTTTACAACTTTTAACATATTGTTGCATAGAATCAATGGGTATGTGATCAGATATATGGGTTTTGGATATATTTTATGTCTTGAGATCATATATAGTGTAATTAGACAAAGTATAAGGACGAAAATTTTACATAGACCAAAGATGTAATTTCTTCAAAAAAAATATTCAAGACTATAAGATTGAACATATCCAAATCCAGGTACTAATTGGATTTTGGAAAGCCATCATTCTATGAAATGGATATACTAAAGTTGTAATAAACTAATCTTCAATTTACAGCCAGCAAAATAATCCTCTTATTTATTACCTGAAAAAAGATAAAAGAACATTCGTAGATCTCCCCCATCATGAAAATATTAGGGAATGCTAAATCAACAAATGTATAGATTCTGTAGAACTCTCAATCCCTTGAAGATTGGTGAACTTTTGCGTCGGTCCATTAATTTGCGAATAATTTATGGAAAAATAAGACCTGTGAATTGCAATGGTAGTGAAATAATTGAGCAAAACCAAGACAATTATAATCATATAAAATGTTACATCTAAAAATTCATTTAGATAAAGCTCACGAAGTCACACAGAGGAGATTGAAAAAGGACGATAAGATATTAGTGTAAAGCTAGATGTACAACGATTTATATACTAAATGAGTTTATTAAATGATGTGATCAATAACAAGTGGTTATTAAAATTAGTGGCCCGATTTAAGGTCCCAACATGAATCTGACACGTCACCGAATCCTTTTAGCATACCGGTATTAGTATATAATAGTGTTATTCCAAATAATATCGCCGTAGACAAACAATGATGGTAAGAAAAATGTAATAGTTTAGGGAGAATTACCACGCTGACATCCAAGTATCTTAAGAGATAGACGAGTGGTAACATGCTAAAAAATTTGATGGCAAACATAAGGAAGAAACTACATTTAACTTAGAGCTTATATAAATTCATCAGTTTATTAGTCATATGAAGAGTTACATGTTTACGTTAATGATCATAACAATCACCTTTTCTTAATAAAGTATAAGACGTCTGTCGATCATGCACATATATTAAATAGAAAGTATTGAGATTTTAATACGCGTCATCACAGTTGAAGAGTATTCTAGCTAACTTTCTCACGTTATATCATTTCTTAAAATGTCATATGAATAATGGTTATCAAACTTCAATCGATTTGAAATATCAATTTCTTTTAAATTCTCTCTCTTGACTGTCTCGATTTCCTTTGAACTTTTTTGAATGAACATATTTCTACCCTAGTTCAGCTATACAAGTTAAAATACCAAAAAGGGGGAACCATACTTGTTCGATTCCTTATGGATCTTAAAAAACATACGAAAAAACCTACTGCTCAAACAAAAAGAAATACATTACAAAAAATAGTGTGGGTCGAGCAGCTCGTAGTAAAGGCTAAAGATAAAGGGGATGCATCATGCAATGTGAAAAATCCTCTAATAAGTGAGGCTAGTTTTTTGTTTTTTGGCCATGCTTAACAAGTCTGGCTAGAATTGGAATGCGTTAAGGTAGCCTCAATTTGGACAAAACGACTTTTGCCAATGAACCCATGTTGTTAAAAGGTACAGTAACGAACAACAATCACTTGTCTCTGTGCCAACTAAATATAGTGTGGAATCGACAAATCCAACCAATTGGGAATGCTGCAACCGCAAATGGGGGTCTGTCTTTCCACAAGAATGATGTCTGAAAATCTCTAGCTCTCTCTCTCTCTCTCTCTCTCTTAATGTCCAGCTCTCTTTCTTCTTCTCTCTATTCTTCCGTATAGCCATTCAAACTTTCAGTCTCCATTAACCAAGTAACCTTGCAACCATTTCTCCAATTTTCACCTGTTGGGAAGGAGGAAAGTTGCTTCGACTTTGGGCTTTTTCTTCCGGTTCATTCATCTCTCGGAGACAAGCCGGCTCAATCGATGGCCCGAGCCGAGCTCCTAGTCAGGGCCTGTTGCGTGCTCGTCGCCCTGTCGAATGTCGTCCACGGCATCGGCGTGAACTGGGGGTCGATCACGTCCCATCCGCTGTCGCCGAGCATCGTGGTCCATATGCTCAAGGACAACGGGATCGACAAGGTCAAGCTCTTCGATGCGGACTCTTGGACGGTCGACGCATTGGCTGGATCGGGCCTTGAGGTCATCGTGGGCATTCCCAATGATCAGCTCGCGAGAATGGCTGATAGCTACAAGAATGCCAGGCACTGGGTGAAAGAGAATGTCACCAAGCATCTCTATGATGGGGGTGTTGACATTAGGTCATTAATCAAGAATCAAATTTAGTCTGCCTTCTTTTTTTTTAGGGGAGATTTTTCATAATCTTGCTTGTTAAGGTTAACGCTGAATTTGGGTACTTGTATGTATCATTTGAACAGATATGTGGCGGTTGGAAATGAACCATTCTTGAAGAGCTACAATGGCAGCAACCTGAAAACCACAGTCCCGGCATTGCAGAACATCCAGAAGGCGCTCGACGAGGCCGGTCACGGGGACAAAATCAAAGCGACGATACCAAATAATGCCGACGTCTATGAATCCCCATCGAACAAGCCTTCCGATGCCGTTTTCCGGAGTGATATCAAAGGTATCATGACCGAGCTGGTCAAGTTCCTCCACGACAACAACGCCCCGTTTATGGTCAACATATATCCTTTCCTTAGTCTCTATTTGAACGCCGATTTCCCGTTTGATTTCGCCTTCTGCGACGACGCTGGGAAGCCGATATACGACAAGGGCACTGAGTACAAGCACGTGTTCGACGCGAATTACGACACCCTCGTTTGGGCGTTGAAGAAAGCCGGAGTCCCCAACTTGAAGATCATCGTCGGGGAAGTCGGGTGGCCGACGGATGGCGACAAGAATGGCAACGTGAAATTGGCCAAGAGGTTCTACGACGGTTTCTTTAAGAAGATGGCCGAGAACAAAGGGACCCCGTTGAGGCCCGGGAATTTGGACGTGTACCTCTTCAGTCTCCTCGATGAGGACATGAAGAGCATCGAGCCCGGGATGTTCGAGAGGCACTGGGGTATCTTCCGGTACGACGGGCAGCCGAAGTTTGCCATGGACTTCACCGGGAAAGGCCACGAAAAGATGCCGGTCGGGGCGAAGGGGGTCCAATACCTGCCCGCACAGTGGTGCGTGTTCAACAGGGGCTTGAACATGAGTGCAGTGGGGAGTGAAGTGAACTATGCTTGCTCGCTCTCCGACTGCTCGAGCTTGGGTTACGGCTCCTCCTGCAACAGCCTCGATGCCCACGGCAACATCTCGTACGCCTTCAACATGTACTTCCAAATGCAAGATCAAGACGTCGAGTCGTGCAACTTCAACGGCATGGCCGAGATCGTGACGCAGAACTTCTCGAAAGGTAGCTGCCTGTTCCCGGTGCAGATAGTGAGCGCCGGGGAAAGGCTCGGCTCGGCGTTGGGCGCGAGTCTCGTCACGGGATTGATTGCGTTGTTCTCGCTGTTGTAAAGGGTTCGCCATAACACGACTCGGGTGCCAAGAAAAACACGAAAAGAGAGCTGAAAAACGCAATTGTAAGCTGTGCATACACCTATTCTAGTCTTCAGCTGACTGTTCTTGGTTCTCATTTCTAGGGAAGTAATTGATCATTCAATTATAGATTTGTGATATATGATACTGATCACTTATCAGGAAGCAAACAAGGTTGGAACTCTCAATAAAATAAAAAAAAGGTTAATATCATGAAATACCTAAACTGGTACATCTATGATAAATTTACCCAAAACTATTTTTTTTAACCACAAAAAATCCCAAACTGGTATATCTATGATAGATCTACCACAAACTAATTTTTAACCACCTGTACATTTTCGATAAATTTACCCTCCGTTAGTTTCCATTGAATTGGATTAACACAACGAAAATTCACAAATTGATACGCCTGTGACAAACGGAGGGTATTGATACACCCATCAACCGCCACGTGTTATCCAATATAATAATTTGATGGTAAGATTTAATAGAAACTAACAAATGGTAAATTTATCATAAATGTACTAGTTTGAATCTACCACAAACTAATTTTTAACCACCTGTACATTTTCGATAAATTTACCCTCCGTTAATTTCCATTAAATTGGATTAACACAACGAAAATTAACAAATTGATACACCTGTAACAAACGGAGGGTATTGATACACCCATCAACCGCCACGTGTTATCCAATATAATAATTTGATGGTAAGATTTAATAGAAACTAACGAATGGTAAATTTATCATAAATGTACTAATTTGAGAGTTTGTAGTCGTCAAAACATTAATTTTAAATAAATTTATCACAAATGTACCAATTTTCTTGTTTTTCGTGATATTAACCCATAAAAAGAACATATATTTTCGACCTTGTTTTTTTTGAATTAGATACTAATTAGTCAATAATAATTCACAATCAAACATTTCTCAACTTCAGCGATAAACAAAAAAGAGGCAAAAGTCTCTTTAAACCTTTTTGGGAGGTCTCAAAATACCTTTACACTATCCCTTTACAAAAATTCATACAAGGCGGTAACACCCACAAGCCCAAGCGCCAGAGAGGGGGGAAAAAAATTCAATGGCAGCAATTACAAAAAAAAATTAAAATTAAAATTAAAATTAAATTACAGGCAAAAGGGAATAGCCAAGCCAAAATCAATTTACAAGGATCAATCGACCTAATCTAACCTAGTACATTTCTTCTCACCAATGTATTTGAAAAAAGAATATCAAAGAATGTTTTTTTTTAGCCGCCTCCGTTTCTCTGAGCCATGTCCACCCGAGAGAGAGTGTTCACCTAGTCCGCTGTTTTCTCCGCTTCCCGCGCTCGGGCCTTTTCTCGGGGCGAACCCTACTTGGGCTATTAGACAATGCCGGTTTTGTTCACATTAGGGGAAGATAGGCACCGCCATGCCCTCTACGTAATACAAGTGGACCCGCGTTTTCGGGTACTTTATCCATCGCCTTCGTGCATGCGTCGATGACGTCTCCAAACCCTGTTGCGGTGGTGGCCATCTGCACACGTAGCCGCAAGTCCCTTGTCCTCTTCAACAAGCATCTAAACGACCTCGCCAAGTACTTGGCCCATTCTGCCGGTAAACCGCCACCGGTAATCCAGATCGAGAATTGATTCTGATCGACTCTAGCGGCCATTTCAGCCCGGAAGTATCTCGCTATCTCAATAAGCATCGATGGTTGAAGCGGAAGAACGGCCACGAATTCGGCCACGAATTCTTCCGTCAGTTCTGGCTTTAGCATCTTGTTCCAGAGCACCGGTGCCCACTCGCTCGGATGATTGAGACCGTAAGCTTCTGCAACTATTAGAGCTTCTTGGAAACGAGACTGCTCGGCCAGTGCATACCTTGCATTCGTTGGATTGCAGTTGAGCCACTGAAAATCGGGCATTCTGATTTGGAGGGAAACAAGACAAGCCTGAGCGCATGCCCTAAATGTTTTATTTCCAGCATCGACTGTCGAGAGAACTTCTGCAGCTTCAATGAAGTAGCGCATGGAATCTAGTAAATCTTCATTCTGGTCTTTGTCGTGACGTTGGAACCACAGTTGAGAAGACTGCTCTGCTCGTGCCTCCAAAAGTGCAGCTGTTTCATGCCTCATGTCAAAGTGGTTATAGACCTGCGAATAGATTTAAAATAACGTGTTAAGCCGATCCGAGAATCACCTGCCCGGTCAGTCAAATCCTCAGCTTTCACCTAAAGAGCAAAGTGATAAGCACCTCCCATGAAGCCTCTCATTTGAATAATGCTCAAATCCACATGTTTCAGCAGGTGCATAGAGTAAGTTAAAATCTATGACATGCTCAGCAGATTAGTCAGGGAAAAAGATCACGGGATATACAGATCCTCATCACGAAGCTCCCCAAGAACCAAGGAGAAACTTGAACAAACTGCCCTAATAATTTTCCTCTAAGCTATCCCTTTCAATACCATACCCAAAGGTATCAACCAAGTGAGGGTCCCAAAAATAGCATTACTTAACTGATGGAAGCAAAATTAAGAAAAAAAAAATACGAATCCTCTGTCAAGGAATAATCATGACAAGCATTGAAAAACACTAACCATGGAAAACGCATCCACGTCGTTTGAATTGAACTGCTTCAATGATGTCAAGACAGCCATTCTGAATCCTCTGGTAACCTTAGCAGTAGCAGTAGCAGTACCAGAACTTGCATCTATAGCAGTTGAAAATTTCTGAAGAAGAAGATCCAGCTGACCATTCTCGATGAGAATGCCAAGGATAAAATTAAGGGCATGGAAGTTTTTAACTCCAGTCATTAGGCGAGCCAAACACGAAAAATCACCCTCAGACACATAAGAATCAACCCTGGTAGCAGCAAGGGCTACAAGAACATCGACTCCATCCAGGCATGCTGATGATTTGTAGAAGTGATGAGACAAAATAAGAAGCTCCACCTGTTGAGAAAAAGACATACCTCGTTCAATTCTAAGTGCTTGATAAAATCGTGTAAATGTTCTCTGCTCTTGTGAGCCCTCTAAGCTTTACATAATGCTCCCATGATTTTTTTTGTGAACCTAGGAAGAAAAGAGTAATATGTCGCATCTGTATCTTGTTTCCAAGGTTCAGAAACGAACAAATATCAGACCTGTTGGAAAGTATAGATGGGGTATATAGATGGGGGTTGAATTCCATTGACATCATCTCTTGAGTCATAAAGAGTACCCTAAAATATTGCATTAGCTCCAAAACCTAATTACCATTATCTAATTCATATGTTCCACTATAAATTTCGAGCTATACTATAGCATCTATAGATGAATCATATGACTTCATTATGCTATAATAACTAATGTCAAGAGAAAGCACACGACAGTAGATATCATGATAAATGCAGCTTGTTTCTTATGTCTATATGATTATCCTTCTTTATTTGTGAGATCAAGGAAAAGACACGATTTTTAGGCCAACTTTTACGTATGCACCATCAGATGCATGGCAAAGTTCATGGAGCCAATGTAAATCAATCCTCTGTCGCAGGATATACTTAACAAATATTTCAAGTATAGGAAATGTGAATATAGCACAATGTGACATGATCTTGCTTGGCTTCCATTAGTACATTTACAGATTAACCATGCCTTCATCTAAAAGTTTAAGACTTCTGAGATTTTTACATAAGCAGACAATTGTCAGTCCCACAATACACCAGTCAAATTTTCAAATGCTAACACGCTTATTTTGATTTACTTGTTGGATGTGGTTTCACAACCAGTGTTCTGAATGTAAAGCCCAGTTTACAAGTGAAGGAAGGGCTAAGAAATGTTCGATAAACATTTTTTATATGTTTCCTGAAAGCTTCCAGTTGTCCAGTTAATGTGGTTATGTCCACAACACGTGTTTTATTAGTTAGGCCCAGCTAGAGGGCTAACAAATGTTTGATGTACATCATAGATCCATATCCTGGAAAATCAAATCTTCTAGAAGGAAGGTTTCTGACATCGTCAGCAGGAAGTCCGATGCTCATACCTCTCCCATGCCCCTCATTTGCCTCCAACTACGACTGATTCCATGGCTCACTTATAGCCAAACCACAACCTATGCATGAGAGGTGGTAATGGTATTATCACAAGTCACTAGCAGTCCCCAATTTCTTAACTCCAAGGGGCATTTCTCACTCACCTTTTAGTAGTTTTAATAGGAAATCACGGAAGGAAAACTAACATAGATATGCCTTCTCAGAAGAGGGTTTTTTGAATGCACAAGGGAGAAAAAAGATGGGCAGGCCCATCTACAAAAACCATGAGGCTTTTTTCAGAAAGTTTTTACGCTAAGAGTGGAGTTAACATTAAAGAATGCCTCTCCGCCTCAACTAGAACAACTTAGTCCTTGAACCTTATTACATTTATCTATGTATCCTTATTGGGTAAACAATAAAACCAATGAACAATTTATCCATTTCTGTTCATTTTCTTTCTCATGAAAAAGTTCTTTATGAATGACATTACTGTCATCGTATAAGCATCAGTTTGCCTTTGCACAGAACATAGAACAAGATCATGCTTACACAAAATAAGCGCAGCTAGAGAGAGATTATGCCAGCTCAATTCTATCCTTTTGCTGAATTGATATATCAACAATCACTTAAAACTTACAAAGTCAACACTTTTCAGCGAAGTAATCTAACATACACAAACAACATGTTGCCATTAATCATGAGGCTGCAATGATTAGAAATCTCCATCAAATATATAGTGTTACTCATTTACCTCACACGCATGCGGTATTTCTTGTCCAGTAATAACCAGGCGCATCAGCGCATGTCCAATTTCAGGTTCAGAAGGACATAGCTCAGCCCATGTAAGAAAGTCGGAAAATCTCCACAACAAAGGAGATGGTCCTTCCTCCTTTTGAGACTCCATATATCCACCGCGATGTGCAGCCAATAACCCCTGAAGTACAAGAAAGCATGCAGGTTCAAATACATAGGAATAAACCAAACAGGTAGTTTTGATTTAAAAAACAAATAGTAAAAGGAAAAATTAGTAAAGAAAATCTAATAACATCATGAAGCCTACAAAAGCACATATCACAAGTGGGTGAATATGAAGTTGATTTTGAAATTCATAACTAGTATAAATAGTTGGGGTACCTCTCTAAATTGGAAATTGGTTTGTCACAAACAAGAAGAAGATAAACTTGTTGATCATCCCAGAATCGCATGTCTTCATTCATAAGATTGCTCACAGATGGTTCGTTAGCATATCCCTTAAAACTTAAGTTAAAGTATAGAGGAAGTTAAAATCTTGTTACTTCGTGGTGATAATGCCTTCAAATATTTTTCCGCACCTTTTAACTATTCCATGGTTCGCATTATACATTGGTCTCTCCTTCACATACTCCGAAACAAAATGAATTAGCTGAATGTAAAAAACCAACATCTAGTTCTCACAGATTGTCGTCGTACCGGTGGCATGTCATCCTCATGTTTTTCTGTTTTTTTATGATGTAAAACAAATGCATTTAGGAGAGGAGGACGAAGTTTTGGAATTACTGAGGAACAGAGATACAGGGACTTCACCAATTGATACTGGGACTACTGTTATGTCAAATATGGACATACGGACTCCAGCTCAACTCCAGCTCAATCCCCAGTGAAAGGAACTGCCAATATAACGTGGTCACCTTACTTAGTTCCCTTTCCTCATGAACCTCTGTGAGATTTCTCATGGATGGTTGAATGCGTTTCACCTGTAATTAACTTACTACTGACTGTAATCTCATTTCCAAAATCTTCAAGGGCACAGTTGTTGTTATAAGCCCACTAATTTATTCTATACACAGGAAGTTAACACTATTTCGGCTGTCCACTTCCATTCACTTAACTACTTTCATTCGGTCAAATATAGCATCATGGAGATGGCAGTACAGATTTAAAAAAAAAAAAAAAAACAGAAAAATTGTACCTTTAAAAATGATTCAGCAAGAATTTGGGCAATACTAGCAGCTGGCATGAAATGAGTTTGGACCAGGAGCTTTGCTTCCTCAAATGATTCTTGGGCTTTTAGAGAAAGCAGCTGTAGGACCTCAATTGGCTGCTTCACAAAAGCTTCCGAAAATGAAAGACCTAGCACATTAGCAGATTTCACAACTGCTACTATCCTTTTACAAAGTCCCCGTCCTCTACCATCAGTAAATATGGTTGTTAAACTCTCTAAGACCTACATAACATATGAAACAGAATTCAGACTCTGCATATGCTTTCATCACAAAACGTAAATAATATGCTGAATCAGGTAAAAGAGGATGCAATGCATATACTACAGTATACGAACAACACTCGGTATAATTTTTAAAATCTACAAATATGCAAATTATAAGCTTGTTAAAGAAGGCAATTAATTAAGGTTTAGAATAATTACCTGAAGCGGGTCGAGATACTGCTGGTCAGCCAAAATACTGCATGATCGAATCACCGAAATCACTTCATCATCAATCATGGACAATGGTATTTCACTACAAGGTGTCGAGACAGCTGCAAGCTTTAGAGCTGTATCAACCAGTAAAAATTCTGAAGGTGCATGCCCTGGTGACAGCTTATGTTGGAGTTGCTTTGCAGCACTAATTTGCCCAAACTCTAATAACAGCAGAACAGCCCTCTCCAGCTCTTCTTGTCCTACTCTTTCCTCCCACCTTGAAAATGGAAGCTCCATTTTTGAGTTCTCATCCTGTAATTGCAGGTCATTCCTGGCATTCAGATTACTGATACCATCTTCAGAATCAGCCATGCTGTCCATGGTATCCACTACCGCCCGTTTGAATGGTGCAGAGCTTTTTGCCCTCCTTCTTGTCTTTGCAGTGCCACCTGCCAAGTTCGAGAGGCCAGAGTCCAGTACTTGGTGTTTAAGATTTGAACCCCCGCCTTCCTTTGAGTCATGCTTCTCAACAGTTCTACTTGTCATATTATTCATATGATTATCCATTTTCGCTATGATGATTGCAGTCCGGTCAACCATGCCTGGACCCCTATCCATCCCAGGATCGTGGCTTGGACTAAATGGACTCGACTCACCTTCACTTTTTACTTGAGCTTCTGATTCTACTGCCAGCAGCCACACTCTAGTTTCAATTTCTCTTATAAGATGCAATGGATAAACCCTGAAAAAATCATGTTACAGGTCAGAAAAGAAACCATGTCCCTGGAAACCATGTCCCTGGAAATTTTCAGAAGCTTTATGAACAGAATATGCTTACGGATGGGAAAGGGTCATCATCCCACTCAACCACTGCAGAGAAAGGAGCAACAGCTCATGAAGCTCCTTAGCTGGAAGATCTTTCTCCAAAGTTTCCGCGTGTTTAAGGAAGAACGATCCAGCCTGCAAGGAATCTCAAATCAGCGATACTTACAGCATTTTAAAGCAGAGTTCCTTGACAAGCATACGTATTATAAGATGACTCAACCTGTAAAGGTGGAAAAGCATGTCTGATGAACAGTGTCTGGCAGTGGCCCCACAAAGCTACTCTTTCTTCAGGAACATCCCAAAGGAACTCTTTCCACTCCGCCACCATAGATTCAGCCTGAAGAAGCTTGAAGAGTGAGCTCTAGAGCTTACATGGTTACATGCCAAACCATGAATATTTCAAGCATGTTGAGGTAGATCAAAGAGTAAGACCCATTTGGATTGAGAAATTTGAAAACAATTTGCAGAAGACAATAATATCAACTCAGAAGAGTGAAGTCCCTAGGCATTACATTCGCACCTAAAGTTTCTTAAGCAGCATATCTAAGGCTGTTTTATGCACCACATTGAAAAGAAAATTATATCATAGAATTCAAAAGCAAACAATAGCATAAACTTTGACAGATTTAGGTCTTCTTCATAATACAGTTGAGTGCCCAAAATTAAATCATTTAGCATTCAAAGAGATTAAGTTTGCATGGTAAGAACCAACAAGTTTTGACTTAATTGATTAAAGTAATTGCAAAATATGCTTAAGTCTGAATAAAGGAACGAGCTACTTAACACATTTAAGGGATATCCTTACTGACATTCAGGATGTTGTCAATTGAATGGCTATAATCTACCAGCTATATTAACAAAACCACATTAGGAAAGAATCTAATCACATTCAACATTTAATTTTCAGCTACTACCGAACAATTTTCTTTTGTTTTCATTTTCAGCACTTCAACAAATCCACTTTTCAAATTCAATGCTTTAATGTTCAATACTTACTTTTAGTTTGATCAGATCTGTTTTCCGCCCTTAAAAATATTTTCTCATGAAAAAAAATTATTGAAACAACAATTTCCGGCATTTGGTATGTATAAAAAAGAAATTCTTCTTTAAGACTTCTATAATGGGTAAGTGGCAAGGGGCAATCAAAGATCAAGGAGCAGGCTGTTGACAACTACTATCACCAGCATAATATTTTTCATTCACCAATTTTCTTCAACTATACCAATTCTTTCATGAAGACGTCCAAGTTATGGATATAATGCCATAAATATACTTTTCTATTATCTTCATAAAATGTAATGTCATCCAAATTAATCACTTCTCTAATGACAAGAACCATTCCAGGACACTATAAGTAGTCTCACTAGTCATCTTCATTGAAGGATTCAGTGTAGCCTCACGATTAACTCGGTTAGCAATATCATTAGTTAATCAACTAGTTTCTTTGTCAAGTTAGTTTCCTTTTCAATACATGGGCTACTTGGAATTGCATTGCTAGCGAAGTCTATAAATATGAGGTCCTACTTTCCGTTTAGAAGTTCATGAAAGTTTACTGACTTACAAAAGCTGCTTTATTCAGTGGATAATGTTATTCAATTTTCAAGTGCAATGTTTCAGAAGCCCCAGGAAGATGCCTATGGATTCTCACTGTGATTTGTATACCTTCTCTAGGAATCTAAACCTTCAAATTTCTATCCAACTTGATCTCAATATTTATCTCTCACAATCCTACAAAAAAGCATATGGTCTGGGCCTGGGCCATGAGGACATCCAGACCCCGGAACATGTCGCAGTAAGCCAAATCAAGTTACTCCCACCATTTATCAGATCATAAATACCATTCAGGGTCTACTTTTCATCAATCAGAGAACCAAGAGCAGCAGCTTAAGTAATGGTAAGCTTTCTGTAATCAACTTGTATATCCATTGACATTTCTGTCTTAACTTTATGAATTTAACCAATTCTTCTCTTGAACAAATACAAGTGACTTGTCAAAAAAAAAAAAAATCCAAATGCTTCTCCAAATCAAAGTAGCTCTGATTAACCTGCATTACTTTCATCATCATGGCTGTATGATGTACTTACAAGATAATAACAATCTGCTAAACTGTGAGGTCAGAAAGTTTGTGCTCTATAACGGGAACAAGCAAAAAAACAGGAGGCATTCTCGGACTCCTTGTGACATTAGATATTCAGCTAGAGAAACTACTAGACAGTCTAAGATGCCAAATAGTGGTAGAAAATGTCAAATTAACATTTGTGAAGTACCCTTGCATAGGTTGATTTGGAAATTCCTAGAAAGGCTGAACAGGACTTCTTGGCAATCAGAAAAACGAAAATGGAAAAACTAGAAAAAGTTGTACCTGAGTTTCAGTAACATGGTGAAGAGAAGATTTCAAAGGTCCCCCACTAGCATCCAACTGTCTGGCCCAATTTCGTGCTTGCTCCCAGTAACCATTCTTTTCTAGTGCTGCTAAAAGAGAAGCATCATCTAGAGTCTCATTACCAAGCTGCAGGACGTCATCTTTCCGCAGTAAGGGCTCAGCTAAGTTGATTTTCCAGTAAAGCCGTCGATAGTATGCTGCCGCAGATCCTCCATCACCAAAGTCGGTTGATGCAAGAAGTTGTAGTAAGCATCTCTTTTCATATGGAGATGGACAAGTAGAAAGGACAGCATTCGCAGCTGTTACAGCAGTAGAACTTATCCATGAGCTTGCTATATTCTCTTCTTTTTTCATACTAGTCTGTAAGGTCGTCGGTTCTTCCTTGACTCGGGTAGAAAAGGAACCCAAATGCGCTGAAGCTTCAGATAAGCGCATCTGAGAGAATGCCTGACAAAAACATGGTGTGGAGAACATGAGTCATCAGAGCTGCATGTCATGTAAAACAGTTGAATACTTATGGAAGGAGACAGCTTGCTAGACAAGACCACAAGAATTCGTCCAATAGAATGTATTATTCTAGAGCACAAAAGTCAATAATTTGAACATATGACCCCAATTAACTATTGTTAGGAGAAAACATCTGCTGTTATTTTTCCTTCTTGATTGCTTAATTTGTTTCCTGGACAAAGTCCCAGATGCAGCCTTGGCAGATACTTAGTTATTGCAGAGATACTAATCTAAGACCTAAAGCACCAATTGAGAAAAAAAAAAAAAAAACCCATCTAATGCGTATAAACAGTAAAAGCTAGTTATGCACATATTCTGTAGACTCTCGATTAAAAAAGAGTTAAGTGCTATATAGTATATTCTCTCAGGAGAGAATTGGCAGAAGCCTGTGCATTCCTGTCATTCCCACGTTCAATATTCTAGCCCTTTACTTACCCTAAAGCAAACACTGATTAGCCCTTTTACAGAAAACATGCACCAGCCAAAAGGCAACAACCAACAGCAAAAATATTCCTATGCATCTGAAAGCTATAGCATCATCTGAAAGCTATAGCAAAAATATTCCTATGCACTAGCAAAGTTGTATTATTGATAGCCGTCATGATGGACAATTTTAAGCTCCATGCTAACCATAATCTCTTCCAGAAATAGCACTTCTTTCCCAGACTCTTCCATCTACATAAAATCCTGAGCACATTACCTTTACCAAACAAATACCAGGTAGATCTTTCCTGCTGCTCGTACCAGTTTTGATAACTATCTAGTGTAAAACTATACACCAAATTTCTAAACTATGGTGTACATTTTTTGGCATGTAAAGACCAAAAATGCAATAAAAAAACACGTTCTCTTATCTTGCATTTTCATAATTGAGAGACAAAGGAGTCACTGAAAAGTTTTCAGCAGATTGCAAATTGCTGTGAAGAAAAAATGACCCACACTAGATCTAACAAATAGACGATACAATATTATGTTAGACCGTAAGGCATAAACCTATAGAACTCTAGGGCATAGTACTCCATAAAATTCACATCACTGCATCAATTGCCATTTATTTAAGAAAAAACCCAGTAGGAACATAAAAAAACTTGGAAAGGACAAGAAAAGACTAAATTTCTCACACCTGCAGAGCACGGATAAAAGGTAATAAAGAGCACGAAGGAAGGAACATTTCGAATGCCCTTAGCAAAGGCAAGAACAGTCCTTGCTCACAAAGCATGGCGACCATCTTTGACAAAGAAGTAGGTCCTTCATCACATACGGTAGAAACTTTGTCTGTAACTACTTCACCTTTCCTTTCCCCCATAGGGCTAATGCCCTGATCAATAAACGTCATTTCCTTGGAGAAAACATTTGATGATTCACCAACTGGGGCTGATAGATCAACAGGTACAGGTTCCATGACCCGCCTACGCTTGGGATTGCTTCTATTATAATGAAATGTAAGAGCTCTATCTTCTGTTGGCTGGGAATTAGAAGCTTTCACGGCTGCTGCCACATTATTTGCAATGTGCGAAGTCATATTGCTGACCTTGACCAATGAAGTTTCCCTGCAAACAAAAAAAGGCTGCGTAAGTATAATATATTATAATCGTAAATGCAGTTAGAGCCTAAAAATCATATTGGTTGGAAGCAACAGACATATTGCATATAATATCATAAAAATAAGTAGAAATTTGAATGAAGACCAGCATGCATGCGCTGAGAAATATCTGGAGGATGCAGGCTAACCTTGCTGCAGTAATTTCCAGCCAAACTCTTAGGCAGGAAAATGGAGTCACATCTGGGAAGCAAGAGGCTATAGTTGCCAATATAGACCATGACAACTCTTTTGCTTTGACCAAAAGAGCCTCCCCAGGTTTCTTCTGCTTTTCACAATCTGCAAGGATCCTGAACAGTTCGACATGAATATACATGTTTTCATCTGAACAAGAAATTCCGCTCCCCTTTTCTTCAGTATCAGAATGTGATGACAAGCCAGCTTTTTTTCTTGACTGCATGTTTTTCATCACAGTTAATATATGAAGCTTGAGTCGAGGGTCACTAAATTCCTTCAATGCCTGATAAAGGACAAAAAGTGTTGAGCTGGAAGTGGACTTTGTACTTATTTTAGCAATTTAAAGAACAAAGGTGATAACAGTATATGCTGCACTTACAACTTGAACTACAACATCAAAGGGGTATGCTCCAACCTGAGCTTCAGACAAGAACCCGACCTTCAATGATGACAAGAACACTGTTAAGAATCAAAGTGAACGGAGAGTTTATATCACACAATTGAAAAACTAAGGATAATCAGGGTATACCCAATCATTATCTCTTGCCAACAGTGCAAGGTATCTTGTGCTCAATGGAAGTTGATGCATCTGGCAGAAAGCTGTGACTAGATTCCAGCATTGGCTGGCAGCTTTTTGTTCTGATCTTAAGTCAGCTCCATCACCTCCACCACTTCTGAGCCAAGACCCACAAGTCCTTCCATCTACCATCAGCGGGAGACTAGCCTTTTCCAGATGCTTTAAGACAAGCATGAGAGGTCGTGATGGTCTCTTACCATCAACCAAATCTGCAACATCCTTTTGTTTAGTGATGCTTGCGCTATCATTGTGCAGATAATCATCCACCAGTGCCCGAGCAAGTGATTCTGTTAAATCTGCTCCTTGTGGTGTTACATGAAAAGCCAAACCTTTGGGAGACAGCTGTCTATAGTCCTCATAATTCTCGCTAGACTTGTAAAAAGAAGATATTCTTCGCAAAGCAGCAACATCAACTCGGAGCATACTAACAGATAAACCACAAAGCTCCAAGCAAAATGCACAGGAAGCAACCAACATAGGATCCTCAAAATGCATGATAGCAAGTGGCATCACCTAAACAAATTCCCACAAAAAATAGCAGACCACATCACAACTTGAATTCCAACAGCAACTAGAGTTATCAGTAATTGGACTAACTTATCATACTCTACGCTAGGCATATGACCATATGCTTCGCAGCAGAAGGTTATTTTTATGAGCAAAGTTCAAATTCCGTTGATCCAGGCTACTATAAAAAAAAAAAAAAACAGAGTATAAACATTAAAGTAACTAATGTTGAGTAATTTATTATTCGATTTGGGAAATATAGTGGAGTAAGTCACTGAACTATAAATAACAGTGCATACAAAATAAAGATGATCTAAATGAGTGCAATTGATACTTTCCAAAACATTTGCAAAAACTTACCAATCAACATCAACAAAAGATTCTTTTCATTAAGGAAACAAAAGGACAAAAGAATAACAATTAAAACGAAAATGGATATTAAAATACTAATGTCTCACTCTCAAAATAGAAAAGAAAAATAAGGCTACACGTAATATCTAGAAGATTGGTTGAAGTATAAGAGCTTAAAAGTTCTCTTAAATAAAGAACTTCAATTATTTTATATAATATTTTTCAGAAAACACAATCATCTTTTCATAACTTCCTTTATTAAAATGAGAGTATTAGTATCTTTTCATATTAAAAGTTGTAAACATTCATGAAACTAAGCTATGAATATTCATCTTATTCTTTTGAATACTACAGATCTAATATAACATATATAAAGTCGATCCTCCCTATAGAATATGCAAATTATAATGTGCATTGTTTAAAATAAGAACAAAAACATCAACATGGTTCCTAGCCTTGATTTTACCCTACTGACTATCCTCAATCTCACAAGCACCTGCACGGGCACAAGCAACCCCACGCACAGCCGCACACCCCCACACCTGCTCTCCCCCCCCCCCCCCAACCCAAAAAAATAAATAAATAAGAAAAAATAATCGACACACACCTGCAGCGTGCTCATGCACATTTACATATGTCAAATTAGTTACTGCTGGACTTCCATTATAAACCTTAAGTTCAGAGCTGCTACATCAACAAGATTTGCTTTCAGGGGCCTATCTTCATCCTTCGATACTTACAGATATATAAGTGGAACCAGCCATTCCTCCTTACTCAGTTTTATGAGAATCAATTACTGTTCTCTACTAGGCTATCGAGATTTCAACAGTGTAAACCGCAAGTTGCATATTGAACCATCACTCGCAAAATCTATATGAAATCACTACTGTTTAGATGTTATCTCTTTTTCTGTTCCAAGGCTTCTGATCTATCTACTTGACCCTTTGATTTTCATTTATTCCCTTTACCATTGCCGCTTCCATTTCCTTGTAACACCCCCTAGATAGGAATACCGTATAGCCAGCTTCACATATGAGATTTGAGTCATGCACAGAGGTAGAAAAAGAATTGAAGATTTTATGAATGAGAGAGATTCTTTGGTTTGAGTGGGAATGCCACATGTTTCATTTTCTAAATGCAGATGGAGGATCTTTGCAAAGTTGAAACGAAGACCCACCAGGACATCACACTGCCTTTTGTATTTTCTTATGGATGATTTTCGCCAGTCCAAATAATTTCTTTTCTGCAATTTCAATTTTGCCCATGATTGTTTGTGAAGTCATCTAAAATTTCATCTTGACAAAATGGGTTCCATAATTGTTTAATTCATGATGAGATGTTGATACGCTCATTCACTAACTTGCTGACATTCAGTCTTTGTCTTGCAACAAATCAAGAGAGAACGTAATGAGAATTAATGATGTGAACTATTCTGCTAATGTACATCAGTCTGCATTGCAATCATCAGTTGTGCTGCGCACTTCCCAAAACGCCCTCACCTAAGAAAAACTGAGTCATTGAAAGTTTCAGAAAATGAACTTGCTCTATCACCTCTTTAACTAGAGACTTTTTAAGCAAGTTCGGTGCAGTAACGACAATGCCTCCCGTTCCTGTTTAGTCCCTTTTTTTTCAAAAGTTGTCTCTATTTTTACGTCAGTTTCTTCCGCGCTTTCCCCCTTTTATTTCCACTTCCGAGGCTTCTTCCAATTTTTAGCAACAATTGGCAACAGTGGTCTGCCAGGAGGACAAGAAGCCTAAATATGCAGCATCTTTCTAGACTATTAGATTGATATTCGATACTTAATTTTGGTTTATTATGGCACTTAAGGATGTGTTGCTAATCACTATTGCATTTTCTTTGCTCTTGGCATTTCTTTGTGAATGAATAATGACTACCTCAAAAAAATTTGATCATATGAGGTAACACAACAACATTAAATGTTAAGTAAGAGTCCGTCAATAAATGCCAATTGATGCTTTTGCTCACTAACGTTATGAGTACTATTTTGTTTTAATCAAGTAATTCAAAGTTGAGTCCATCAATAAATGCCAATTGATGCTTTTGCTCACTAACGTTAATGAATACTAATTTGTTACTATCAATTAATTCTAAGTTGGTTAATTAGACTGGAACATCTATCCAAATCGAACAAATTAAACAGTCAAAACCATCTACTAGGCATTCAACGGTATTAAGAAAAAGTTTCACAAATTATGCTGAATGTACATTTTTTTGATGATTTACGATCTTAGCGGTTAATTATTGATCCTTCAAGTTGTGTGGGCTTCTAAGCTAGTAATAAATCTAGTACTTAAGAGAAGGAAAATGAAATCGAAAAACAAAGTTCCTTTAGAGTCTTTAGATATTGCATATTAATGGCAAGAGGAGATTTTTCAAAATGATAATATTTCTGCAGGCCATTCATATTTTCCATCAATTTTTGATCAATTGTTCAAAAAAATTACCGTCTTCATTTGTCAGAAATATCATTACATGCTCAAAACCTACATATGCTAATAGAGAAGAGTGCACAAAAAGTCCTAAACCTTGTGTACAAAATGCAATCAAGTTCCAAACCTTTCAATAAATTTAATCAAGTCCTAAACCTCTTTCAAAATGTGCAATCAAGTCCATTCAAAGGATAGTACTTAAAATTGCCTAAGCATCACTTGAAAATTGCCCAAGTGGCACCCCTAGCTTGTGTTTTAAGTTTTAAGACTTGATTGCAACTTTTAGTAAAAGTTTAGGACTAATGGAACCAGATGAAAAGTTTTGGACTTGATCGCACTTTTTGGTAAAAGTTTAGCACTTGATTGAACCAATTGAAAGGTGTTACGAAGAACAGGAAATGAACCAAGAACACTGTAGGTATAGAGATAGTGCATCAACTCTCTTAGCTGGATGTTTACCCTCATAGGAAATAATTCTTCATATAGTCCGTTAAAATTGGAGATAATTGCACAGCCATGCATGTCCAAATTGACAACATAAGTAGAGATTAAGCTTACTTATAGTTCTTTGTCGTCCTCAATAATATAGATAGGCAAAGTAAAGAAGAATAAGCAGGATGTTAAAGAAAAAATTAATTGACTGGATTCATCTAGGATTCATTACTGTTACAGAAATATTTGTGGATTAAAAGGTAGAAAACTGATGAATAGTAATAAATATATAGAAAACAATATAAGAAAACAATCAAGAACAATGATCAGTTCAGGAATTACGAAAATATTTGCGGGTTAAAACATAACAAATAAAAAATAAACTGTTGACAACGGGAAAATGTTACCTTGGAAAGAGGTAGTACATATACACCATATTCAAAATATTAAAATAATTGTTGAAGTATTATCCCACATCGATTGACAATGCGTTCTAAATGCTCTTTATATTCATGTGGTCTACCTCCACCTAATAGCTTAAGCTTTTGGGTTGGATTTTCTAACGCGGTATCAGAGCCAATGCTATCCCTTTCGCGAATATGTGTGGTAAAAATTCTATGTGAATGTGCGATGTCAATATTTCACATGCTGCTCGTAATCCGGCTTGCACGTGCGTGGGGGTGTTGAAGTATTATCCCATATCGATTGACAATGGATCCTAAATGCTCTTTATATTCATGTGGTCTACCTCCACCTAATAGCTTAAGCTTTTGAGTTGGACTTTCTAACAATAATAATAATAATAAATTCAAGTTGGAGATAAATGGACTCAAACCACTAAAATCCACCATAGGATAAAACCACCACCTCTCTAACTCCACAACCGATTCATACTTAAAAGGTAAAATTTGTGAAGTCAAATCCTACATGCACTCTTTGGCACCTTCACTACCCTCTCTATTGTGCAAGCCTCAAATAAGTAGATATAGATGTTGATAATCTCTTATGTTTTGTATTATGCCTGATGTCTCAATGTCAAAGTCTGATTAGAAAACAGTGCAGCATAATGAAGTTTCAAGGCCCCAAAATCAATTGAAAGTCAAAAACATGGACATACATAAGGGTAAACTGATGCCACAACACTCTTTCACAGAATCCTCCTCCCCCCCCCCCCCCCCCTCAAAAAAAAAAAGAAAGAACCACCCAAAAAAAAGCCAAAAGGACATCTTGGAAAATTTATTCGAAGAAAACGGAAAGGAGAAGCACCTCCACGTAATGGCTTATAAAAGGCTTTTGTTCAAGCTGCGGTTTCGTAGCTTTCTAAGTACTTTTGCTTCGGATAAATTATTTTACTTTCAGTAATAAAATCCTCCACACGGACCACATTCCAAATCGGTATTGACTTAGCATTCTTGGTGTAATATAAATCTGTGTTTTTTAAAGAGGATCAGTTGATAATAATTAACTACTACACTTTGCCCTGGGATCAAGTACTCATCAGTAGTTTACTATGTGTACCAAACACCCATTAAAACAAATTGCACATAAATTTCATGAAAAGGGTCCCTTACAGGTGCAAGAAGCAACTCTTCATTTTGAGTAACGGGGCCAAGCAGTCTCTGAATATCCGACTGAACATTGACTTGTCCATGTACTGAAGCACCCGATTGTCTTTCCAACTTCAACTTCCGGACTCTAGCACCAAGAAGGTGGTTAAATGCAGCCAATGCACGCCCACGATGTAAGTGGTGCTCAAGGCCAAGTCCAGTTTCCTGAATTCAGTGTGAGTCCTCAGGATACAACAAATATGTTGGAGCAACTTTGGAGTAGCAGAGTTAATCCAGATAGCAAAACAGATGAGATTAAACACTCCCCCATCCCCCAAAATAAGAGAGAGAGGCCCCCGCCCACCCACATGCACACAACCAAAAAAGGCAGGGACCCAGAAAGGAAACACGAGCACAGGCACACACAAAAACCTAACAGAGAGGAACCAAGAGTCCGTTTTACTTGCAGAATAAGTAGATAAGGGATATTTTCAACATTTTCCACATTGTAAATTATAAAAGACAATTCTATCTACTTACTAACATTATCTGTACTCTCAAACTCACTTCTTGTTGTCCAAATAAAACTGCCTAGCACCCATTAATTGACCTTACAAAATATGTCTCCATAATCACCAATAGCAACCAATCACCACCAATGCAGACAATGTCACCAACTCCAGTCGGCCAATGAATCCACATTAGATTTGCAAGCCAACCCCCACACCACCCAAGCAACCACCATTTTCGGGAATTTATCTCAATGCAAAAATATATCGAGCAGAGTTAACTTAAAATATATTTTCTTTCTACAAAAATAAAGAAAGATGTTTCCCTTCGAGAGAATTTAATGCAAAACAAATGGACCCAAGATAGAAATAGGATAAAGGACATAACCTCGTATACACAAATGGACCTTACTCTTTTCACCAACATCTAAAGAAGGACAAAGTGTTTAGAGCTTTGAAGACAAAGAAGAATGGAAAAGCAGTTACCAATATTAGCATGGAAGGTTATGGGAACGATTGGAGTGTCTCGGCTTACAACCCTTTTTAGCAGAACCTTAAGATCCAACAAAATGCTGGATGAATAGAGAAAAAAGACCTTGGTACCTATCTACAAGAACAAGGTGACATTTCAAAATTGAGCCAACTACAGAGAGACTAAGCTAATGAGTAATGCCATGAAGCATTAGGAAAGGTAATCAAGCACTGGTTAAGGTAAGAGTTGTATCTCAGTCAAACAATTTGCTTTTATGCCAGGTAGATCAACTATGGAGGCTATTTACCTGTTACAAAGATTGATTGAAAAGTAAAAGAATAAACAGTAAAATGTGCATTTGCTGTTTAAAGATTTGGAAAAAACATATAGTAGAGTACCAAGGGAAATTCTTTAAAAAGGCTCTTGCAAAGAGTGGGGAACATGTTGCCTATACACAAGTGACAAAGGATATGCGTGATGGAGCCGTCACCTCCATTAGAACAAATGAAGTGGAAACAAAGAATTCCAAATAACTATAGGACGGCAAGATAGGCCGACAATGCTTTGATGGCACGGAGTGCTGGTGATTAAGCAACAACATGTGAACAAAAAGAGTGCAGCAAATGCTTAGTTGGATGTGGTGGTACATGAGAAGAGACAAGATTAAAAATGAAGCTATCAGGGAAAAAATAGGAATTTCCCCAATTGAGAATAAGATGCGAAAAGACCATCTAAGTTGGTTTAATCATGTTGAACGAAGGCATATATATGTCCCAACGATGAGATGTGAACAAGGATTGGCTACATCGCTTAAACAGGGTGGGGGAAGGCCTAGAATGACGTGAAAGGAGACGATAAAAGAAAGATATGGAACATCTAGAGCTCATAGAGAATCTAATAAAGAATCAAGCGCAATAGCGTGACAGGACTCATATAGCTGACCCCAGATACTGGGATAAGGCTTGATTGATGTTGTTGTTGTACCCTTTTTGGAAGATATTCTAGCTTCACATATTTCTTAATGAATTTAGTTCTACTTAATTTAAAACAAATTTTAGGCCATCCAAGCGGACAGGTAACTGATTCTCCATTTTAAAACTGTAGTCCATTTCAATTTTCAAAACATCGTCAAATGACATGGTACTGAAAATAGATAACTCACTTAGTTATAAGCTCAACATGATGCTTTAAAGATACTATACGTGTATTCTAGGCACATCTGTATTTTTTCTACTTAAATTTAACTAATCATCACTTAACTTTAGCGGATTTTGTAACTAGGTATGCTAAACTTTGATTTAAATCACCAAGTGCACTAGACTTTCATTTTCTTATGCACTTGACCAGATCTGACCAATATTCAGACAAAATGCTGACGTATTAACTGCACTGTAATGACGTGGGTCCAGAACATTGGCCACCTGTCTGCCACATCAGGATTTTGTGAGAAAATTAGCCGGATTCCAATCAAAGAGCATCAATCCTTCCACATGAAGTTAACCACTAAATTATGTGACATCTCCAGAAGTCTTCCTTGTTTTATTGAGGTGCCTCAACTTTGACAACCAAATATCTACAGGCACTGTTGTCAGATACACAATCACAGTAACGCCACAACTGGTCACAAAACTCACCCCCACAACTTCTGAATGTTCATTCAAAATAAGTAAAGACCTTTATCATCTTCTTCACTGCTGACCATCTCTTATGAAGGCCAATATCATAATTAACATCACCATTCAACCACTTTGTCAACAACCCCACCAACCACCACTACTAGCTAGAACTGATCTGAAAAGCAAATCCATGCAATTTGTAAAGAAGTTAAAAACACATTTTGTGAAAGTTGAAACTAATCTACCCAATAATTCATTGTCTAAGTTTCTCATAGAGGAAATAAACTGAAAAATGTAGCGTGAAGATTCTCAATCTTGCTTTTGGTTCTTATTTTGAGAACAGAGACAGAAAGGGCATGTGAGCATACCTTAAGTGAAGAATCATAGAGTTCCTCTTTAATGTGCTTTTCAATGGTTCCTTCCCAACTGATAGCACTAACCTGAGCAAGTTCATTTCCATTTATGAAAAGATCATCTCTATGCAGTAAATACTCAGAAGTGGATGGCATCGTTAGTGACTGCCATCCAAGAGGACCCTGCAATTAAATGCAGAGAACGTGATTTACAGAGAAAGTCAAATATCATAAATCAGACAGCATCTACACCAAAAGCAATAATGCAATCGACACAAAAACTATGTATTAACCAAAAATGCCAGAGTGAGATGGTGTAGTAGCAGTGGGAACTGAAATTAAAATAAGCAAACCTGGATGTATAGCTGTACTAGTCTCCTCACGACCTTGGGAAACCAGCAAGGTAACATTTGCATGAGTGAAGTATCACGGCCAGTGGAGAAAAATATATGCTCGCGCCAACTTAAATAGTCTGATAAAGCTGAACATCCAAACACTGCGAATTGCACAGCAGAAGAAAAAATAATGAAGTGAACCATTGCATGGCAGACCTCTGAATCCTAAAATAAAGAATATCAAAGGAAAGGGTTTCATAAACTAACCATTTCTTACTTTACTTCCAGGAAGATTGCAATTCACATCTTGCCCTAAACATGCCCCTACAAGGGTGCGCCACAAAGTAGGAAAATGTTGCAAGCTAGGTCGAAGGTTCTCCAATGTGCATTGCGAGGAAGTACTCTGCCTTTTAACACTGCCTGTGCTCAAGCAGTTTTGAATGGGGATAGGGGCGTACATAAGAGTTGCAATAGCAGCCAATTCTCCCCCTCCTTCTGCAATCTCATCAACAGTACGAATGACAGAGTGCGTCTCCAAAACATTCAGATTACTACCAGGAGATAAACTGGGAGTTACTATCGCACGAGAATTAGAAAATGATGCTTCATATTCACACCCTTTAACTCTAGCAAAGAGCAACCACCTCGCCCATTGACAATCGCCCTACAAGAACAGAAGGTGTAACAGGTCACTATCTTACAAGGATTAGCAACAGCTGCAATAACTAACAGATCTCTAGTATAAGTAGCCAAAAGAAAAAAAAACCACCTCCTTGTTGCCCTCTTCACTTCTCACAAAAAGTAAGAAGCCCAAGAACATTATAAAAGAAAGAGATGTAGAACATAAGAGTGACCCCTAGGAACTAAAGCATGATGTTAAGAACTCTTGAATCCTGTAGATCATGTAAGAATTTATTCCTACAATAATGCATATTCAAATAGTTCAGTATCTTAATTGCTTCTCGATCAAATTATATTACCCAAAACGTCACAAGATTGACAAGGAAATTATCACCAGAAATCTAGACATCTATTAGATCATATCATGTTCATAAATAAGGACTCGACAATCATACTATGGTCCCACTTAAGCTCCATGTCTAAAATTTCTCTCATCTCACCCAATTCCAGAACAGTCTTCAAGAATTTATATGATTTATAAGGTAATAGCTAACAAACTGACACAATTAACTAAGAAGACCAGGATGACAAAGAGACATGCTTGTCTAGCTTGAGAGTTGCTATTCTGATTGCAGACAAAAACTAGAAGCAGTTCTAGAAGGTTATGATATCGCTTGCCTGCCAAATTCACCTGATTATTTGACGTCTTTTTGTACCCACATAACTATTTTACCATCAGTAGAGACTTCACCATCCCAACGTCTAATACTGAAACCAAAAGTTACTTGACAAACTATCAATAACTAAGTTGTACAACTTTTATAACAGAAGATTTATTCTAATAAAACTATATATATTCACACAGATTAAAAGTGAGCTCTAGCCATAAGCTATTCTTTCTACAAAACAGAGGTAGCCATGAAAGTATCCAACAACGCAACATGATAATCTCCTCTTATGGTTTATTGTCAAAGATATCCAAGAAACAAATTCTAATAAGTTCCTGAATAGCAAGCAATAAAGCTGGCGACGTCCCAATTGACAAAGCATGAACAAGGAGAACACTAAATGAAGGGGAAACGACAAAGCGAGAAGAATAGAAGAAAACTCTCTCTTTTAAGATTTGTATAGAAGAAAATAGAGAAAGAAAGTGAAGGTTAAATCCAAATGGATTTGTAAGTTGAAAACCTAACTCGTTAAGCAATGAAAAGAAAGTCACAACTATGGTAATTATAGGAATTTTATGCATGTTCTTCTCCACATTTTCCTGACTTATTGAGTGATAAACTCTCTCCCATAATCCTTCCAAATTTCGACTCAATTTCGTCTCTGCAGTCTCCGCACATATGGAGGGATCAACTTTCTGTCCAAAATCATTCAAATTGTCCAATTCTTCCTTTCCTCACTCTTTCTCCTCTCCCAAACAAAGTGCAAAAGAAATCTAGAGTCAATGTAAAAACAAGTGCATATACCAAGATCTGGGATAATGTAGCAACAGATATACTTCTCAGTCAGATAGTGACAGATAATTATAGCAGTAACTAAGGTGCAATCACCCAGTATATCATACTTCATTTCCAGCAATCGTCCAGGTTTCTTCAATGAAGTTAAATATTTGATGTCGAATTGGTTGAAAAGATTTATTAAGCCATGCAAACAGAAACAAAAAGGCACTTCAAAAAATGCAGACTGGGTCTATTTGCGAATAAGCAAATTAAAATGAGGACCAGTAGCACTCACTGGATGTGAGAAAACTTACTACAGCTTCCAGCAATGGATCGAGGGATTCACTATCCAAACCAAGCATGTGATGATCAAGATAAAGGTCCAGAAAATCCGGCAAGTTGTACTGAGCACAATGACGTGCAATGACCTTATGCAAATTTTGAATAGAATCAGTAAGACAAGTTTCTCTGGCATTGAAGGCATTAACCTTTGACTGGATCTCATAGGAACCACTCTCTAATGGAGTATGATACTTTCTCGTAATGAAGCTTGAACGAGCCAGGAGAGGCACTATGTTCCATGTGTCTTCCCAGTACTCTCTTAAGAAAATAAACCTTTTTGCAAGCTCTGGCTCAATGAGCATTTTTACCCACATAGAACACATCATATCTGCTGAAAACCTGAAAATCTTAACACCTGGTACATTGATGCAGGGGTCATCCATTTCATCGGGAGAGAATAAATCATCAACATGGTAAGAAACTTGCTTGCTATATCCATCTGTAGTGCTAGGCTGCAAATCATGAGAAGTGATTTGTAGTCTTCCGTCACATACTGCAGATGAAGGCATCAAGTCCAACAGTCTGGCAACCTCCTCCCATTCATTATGGGAGATGTGGTACTCAAGTTGCGAGTCCCAAAGACAATGAACCCCCATCACAAAAGGCTGATCGAGTACAATCTATACAAGGGCAACAAAGTCATCCTCAGACTGAAGATATTAAATGCAAGATGTAGTTAATCAGCCATGTCAACCATCAAAACAAGATCCACTATGTATCTTATGAAACAGCATAAGAGCAATAATAGAGATTGAAATCACTATCATACCAATGAGAATCACAAACTAAGAAAACCAAAAGCTCTATTAGTTCATGTTCTCGTTCAAAGCAATGAAAGATATAGGAAGACAAGTTCATACACCATACTCTTACAAGAAACGCAACAAAATGATTCTCAGAACTTAATTTCAATACATGAACACCCAAGAGAAAAGATTGATCCAGTATTTGATCAGCCTTGTCAACCATCAAAAACAAGATCTATCATCTCCACATATGAATAACAGGAAACTTTTTAAAAGCAATGACAGTGGTGGAAGGACAACGTAATCACATAACCAGTGAAAATCACTGCTGAAAAAAACCAAGAACTAAATGAGTTCCAATTCTATATTAAAGCAAAGGCATATGGAGAGGCAACTTGACTCACAAGCCTCTTGGAAGAAAAGCGATGAAAAGGCTGTCAGAATTAAATTTCAAATGGAAGCAAGGTAAAACCGAAACACGGAAGCTACAAAGAATAGCATCTGTATTTTCTCTATGTATTTTCATCAAAATTACACATAAACATGTATCCCCACAATGTTAAAAGCCAAATCAGATAATAAACAAAAGACCACAGAGTTTTTGAATAATTGCATTAATTTGCCTTTGCCAGCTCTAGCAAGAAACTCAAAGGCATGAAGTGAGGCTTTGAGCTTTCATGGTCGTAAGTCAGCTATTCAAATCGCTTGACGGACAATCTATGAACATTTTAGCACAAGTGGGACGGAAGAAGCTGAAAAGACAGAGTACAGTGCATGATGTGATCAACTACCCATAAAAGGATCAGAGAAAAAAGAAATGAATAAGAATATTCTGTTACAGAAAGAATCCAAGGCAATCGTGAATTCACACCAACATCAAACCTACACTCGACAGCAGAGATATGTAGGATAATCTCTTACATTTAAAGATATTTTCAATGATAAGATCTCACTATAGAAACAAATGAGTGAAAGTGAAGTATTAAAATTATGCCTACCAGGTCCAGGAATGAAGAAAATAACATTATGCCTAGCAAACAATTTCTAGGCAAACTATAAATTTTGGGGAAGCAATTAAATTTAAGCGCAGCAGGAAAAAGTCGAGAAAGATTCATCGTGATTATTCATATAAAATTGGAATGTTTAAGAAAACCAAATAGCACACCAAGACAGCATTCCTTTCCAGACTTTTGATTCAACTAACATGCCCTGTTTTTTAATGAACACAACAAAAGAAAAATAAAAAGACAGAAATGCATCTAACATAAACTTAGAACAAAACAAAAATGACTTACCCGATCTACAGTTTTCTGATCCCAGATGCTAGACCAAACAGCTGCAGCAGCCCAATATCCACCATGAACACTCTCTTCATTAACCACAGGATCTAAAGAATTACCACCAACATTCACCCATGAACCTATGACAGCTCCATCGATCTCACCACACTCAATGGTAATATTGACGAACATAGGTGAGAGCAACAATTGCATATTAGTTTGCTCTACTGCATTCTCCATTTGGTCCCTCCGGCCAAGAAATGTTTTCCAGAAACAACTGCTGGGATATAGCCTCTTTTAGACCGCCACAAGACAAACAAAGATATTAGAGCAAAGAAAGGAAATAGTGAAATTATATATGCTGCAAATGCCTTAAGAGATATAAAGGATTTCCAGAATGACAAATGCCTAATACCTCAATTAACGCTATTGTTTCCAATATCTTCAACTCATTGCCTCGCAAATAACCACATCTTTCCATCTCCTCCGCAATCTGCACTCGGAGAGATCTCCTCACGGTGCCAAAAAGTAATTCCTTCAGGCAGGTTTTTATGTCTTCTCCAAGCCTTTGAAGCGTTGCTACAGCAAGTCTTGTTTCACCCTGTTAACCATGTTCCATTGTAATGCAACGACGATAACATTTATCTCATGAGAAAATTCATTACCTACTTACCTTAAGAAACAAGTCATATGCAATAGCCCTTCCAACTTCACGAACTTCATTGAAAGTATCATGATGCTCGTTCTCACCGATCAGATCTATTGAGTGATGGAGGTGCAACTGAAGAACAGCTAAGGGGAGACGACCTGAAAAAAGAGCATCTCTGACCACAGTCTTAAGATCAAGATTGTCCATTTTCCAGCGTCTCACCATCTCATTGGGATTTTCCAAGGGAAGAAGATTCCTTCTAGGAATCTCTCCCTCAACCACTCGGGTTACAATGGAAGATGTATCACGTGTGTCATCTAAATTCGTGAGGACTCTAGAATCCAAAGAGTCCAGTGTCAAAGCAAGACTTTCATTATTTCCAAAATCCAGGACTGCAGCCGGTAGAGAAACATCATGGTGGTTAGATGCTCTAAGGGACATTGAACTTGCCGGGACAACTGAAAGTCCAGATTCATCAGTAGATAGCTCTGCATCCACCAAACTCGATGCTTCCCCCACATCCACCTGTAGAAATTGATAAAGTTATTAGCCACAAATATCTATATAAAGACATCGGAAGAAGCATAAGCATATCATACCAATCCTTGGCCTGGCCTTTGAAGTTTTGCAGCAAGTTGTCCTTGCAAATTCCGAATGATCTCCAGAAAATATGCCATCTCATTAAGCCTTTTTGATTTTTTCATTTCACTTTGCACTTCCTCCGCTAGAGGGGAGGGAGGAAGTACTTCACTGTCACAGCCCTCTAACATGTAAGCATGTTTCTTCTGCTGTGGCAAACCATATGTTCGAATCAGTTTGGTAGCGAAGGAAGAAGCCAATGCTAGAAGCCTGTCATAAATTCAAGATAAGGACAGCCCCAATTATGCACCAAACAATGAGAAAATGAGGAAGGCCTTCAAGAAAACATACAAGTTCTGGCATAACCCCTTTATGTCGTTCGACTAATCAAAAGCATAATCCAAAAAGAGGATCTTCCAAAGAAAAGCATAAGTTTTTTCTTCCAAGCTTAAATCAAGGTGGAAAATAATCGTGATAAGGATATAGCCACAGTATAATGCACAGCAATGCAACTTGAAAGGTCTCTTTCGTGCCAATAGTGCATTATACCTACAACTGAGAATATTTTGGCTGAGTCAATTTTAACCAGTTTTGCTTGAATCAATTGATTTCCCTTGAACTGACAACTTGATAAATGAAAAATTCAATAAACAAGCACAAGCCATCTGGAAGTACCTTCTGCACTCAAGTGGAACACAACCAATTGAATGTCTTCCGGAGGGAAGTAATCAGAAATTTGAAAGCCATTAACAATTTAAATGATCATATCAAAGTATCAAAGGTAATAGGCTCCATCATTTGTGTACAATTGAAACATTTTTCCAAGAAAGAAGTCTCCCTGTGATGAGACATCCACACATAAATGAGAAATTCAATTCCATTCCCATAACAGATTTTGACACATGATAGTGTTCAATTTGATAGACAAAAAAAGTGTAGCCAATAGGTCTGCATGACCAATAAGAAGGAAAAATAACATAGTGCCCCAAAAGACAACGTGCATCAGAATACCAAAATACACACTCTCCCCCCTAGAAATCAATCAGATGAATATGGTACATTTCAATGTAGAATTTTTAGCTCAATGTCTCTTAATGGTTATAACCATTATACTTTCATGTGATGCATCTATAGACATGTACCTTTACGTATATTTTACTAAATTTTGACAAAAATAAATAAAAGGTTTCTTAGTAGAATGCGGTCCTCTACAGATGAATCAAGCATATCCCATGGGTTTGTTGTCCTAATACAAGAAAAAATCAAATTTTAGTCCATTCTTAAATGAGCCGACCCTATCACACAGTCAGGATAGAGATATTCTATTTTCCCTTTTTGTTCAACAAAATGAATCAATCACGATCCCAAATTCCTCGAAACATGCTTGGCAAGTTACATTTGTTATGAACCACCCAACCATCAGGTAAAAGTCAGTATAAGCTCATTAAAAAGCAATGCGGACGTGTCCAGCTTCAATCGTAGTGAAGTTTTCTTGTTCACAGGAGAAGCTAATAAATGTCGTGAAGTCCTTCATTGTTACTTGGATGAAAATGGTTTGGACAGTTTCCCATGCTTGCACCGGGTTATCTTGTGTTATTGGAGGTTCCATTGAGCAAAACTTAGGCTTGGCAGGGTATTCATTAACAGCACAACAAGAAAATAAGGATTGCCTCAATTCTTCTCTCTGTTTTATGGTTGATTTAGAAGGAGTGGAACAAGAGACTTTTGATGGAGAGGAATCTTCCATCTCTGTTTTTATTGAAAATTAGCTTAAAGTAATACACTTCTGATATAGAGGAAACCGGCATGTGGATGTAAATGCCTTGGTTGATAGAGTTGATTATTTATCTTGTATCTGGGCTCTCTTTTGGTTTTCAGAGCTGTTTTGTATGGCTTCAGCCTTTCTTTCTTGGGCTCTTATGTACATGGGTTTGCACCCCGTTAGTGCCCTACAATTTAACTATTTATCTATCAGAAGAAAAACTAATAGAAGCCTTTTTCTAATGGCTAGCAAACTCTGGATCTTCCTGTTAATATGTGGTCACTCACTGAACAACATATGGAATTCCACAAACTAAAGAAAGATCGATAATGTCATTATGCTTTTGGTTTAAAAAGAGTTTTAAAATTGGTCAACATTCTTGTAACTGATAAAAAAGTAAACAGTTCTGTAATACCACTTTAGGGAATTTCTTAATCCTGTATAACAGATGTATTGTCCCAGCAAGAATTTTGATTATTATGACAAACAATTCCTTCTTTCCCTTGTCCTTTACAGCATCACTAGTAGCAACTAACAGACCAGCCAAAGTTCACTTGAAAGCTACATTCGAATACATTAAAGCGGTGCCTGCCAGTAAGTTTTGTAGTTTGGTGGAGAAGTAAGGCCCTGCCATTCTCCTCATGCTCTGGGTAGGATAAGGGAGAAAATACAACTTCCTGTTCCTATAGTTCATCTAAACTTCTTTCTCTAGACATGACCCATTCTCTTACAAATTGTAAGAAAAGGATTTGATTATGATGGATATTCTGATAGATTTATGTAGCAATTTTGATCAACTTTCAGTAGGATAGGTGAAACTGTACTTATTGTCATATGCAGAAGTAATGACCTAAAATATAACTGCATAAATAAGATGACTGCGGCACTTCCATTAGGAAGTACATTAGGGGGCCTTCGAGGATAGTATTCTGGAATATTGTAGTTTCTATGTAATTGTATAACCACGGAAAAGATGAACTGAAAAAGAGATCTTACTTTGATGCCACAGCTACATCCATATCACTGCCAACTTTTCCATACATCAAAAAAGCAGCCTGGAAGATTATTCTCAAAATGCCTGCTTCCGAGAGATTGACACCCACAAGCATATCTAGGGATCTAGTCATCCAGCAAAAGATAGAGAGAGTCAGAAAAAGGAAACAAAAGGATCATTATCAAAATTATGTGCATCAAGAAACTGTATGGTCAACTCTACCAATAAAAATATTCGACTTTTAGGTAAAAAAATTTTAAACTTGGATTCTGATGAAGTCTATGACTTTCTGTAACAAAAAACACAGCCAGTGTTATCTGCTCAAGTTCCATGCTTGTTTTTATGCTAGAAACAACATCTGAATTTCTATTCAAGTTTCCCATACTTGTAGCAATTATGTGATCACGTTTCCAAGTGTGTCTTTCCTCTTATGAACCAAAAGAAGATGGAGGATTTAACTTAATTTTCAGTTATAACCCATCCATTTGATTCATTTCATGACAGAGAAAGATGAACTCCAACTAACTAGTGCCACGACCACAAAAAAAAAAAACTAACTAGTTCATTTTTCAAATTGACCAAATATTCCAAATGGCAATAAAGACCATTGCCATCTTGTACATTTAGCTCTTCTAATCTCTGAGGACTTGCAGAAAGCAAAAGCTATTCACTAATAACAGTAATGACGAACAGATCCGAATATTCGGGAGGGATATGAATGACTGATCCATTGACGGATATATACTCTTCTTTTGACAGTAAAAGGATAAATAAGTCATTATAGGGCACCAAGATTAAGGCTTGCTGGCTAAGAGTGGAGTCATTGCCCTACGAGAAAGTATAAGGATGGACCGCAGCCTGTGCTTAAACGACGACATTCCAAAGAGCTCAAAGACCAAACAAGAACTCATTCACAAGAGAGAGAATCCACCATGTCTATGAAACCAATTATATCTCTGAAGAAAACAGAAACTCAATGCATAGAAACAATACATAGATATGACAAAAAAGTCAATTAGATTCCATTACTAAGACATCCATTCCAACAACATCATGGAATTTCTGCCTGCCTTTGCAAATTCCCAGCCCCATCTCAATTTAACAGAAGATCAGTCATTTCTGGTACAATTCCTCGAAACTGGACATCAAATTATCTCCATGTGGTCAAAGGTCCACTTTGAAGAACACCAAACCATCATCTCCTATGTTTGACCCAACCAAACCGCCAAACAAAAGGAAATTGAATATGGAACCATTTGTTCTAAAAGCTCAAGTTCTTAATATAAGGAAAGACATGTATTTTATACATTACTACACTACACCATGCCGAAGGCTGGTGGTATGGCAAAGGCTCGAAGGCATGTCAATCAATATGTGTGGTTAAAAAGATAGTGAGACCCATAATGTATAAAGAAGCAAGATCCCTTGATTTAGGTGATGGGAAATGAGGAACTAAACGACACCTCGTTGTAGTCAGTCAATTGTATCTAGGTGATGGGAAACAAGGAACCAAACGACACCTCGTCGTAGTCAGTCAATTGTTCTCAAAGCTTAAGTATAAGTAATTTTCTTCTCAACAGAAAAAACAATAGAACAAACTATACATTTTATCAATACGAAATAAAACTAAAAGTAAATATGCTATAAAAACACTTGCATGTTCCAACGATAAAAACAGGCAAACGATATTGTAAAGTAGAAAATATTCAAAATTTTCTACGCCAAAACCATGATATAAATTAAGGAGTGACATACGATTTCATAAAGAAACTTCAGAATATTACCTCTCTAGTTCATCAAATTTCAAATAGTCCAATGCTAGTTGTAATTGCCGTATTCGAGAAACTTTCAAGTCCCATCCTGCCAAGACAAGCACCATTCACCACTAGGAATCCAAAATACTTGAGAAAAAAGAAAGGGGAAAAAACCTGATCATAGCAAAGCGAATATAAAGAAGTAGAGAATATGATCATAAGAGGCAAAAGAGCACATGTATCATGTATCATTTTCCTACAAACAACAATTGACAAATTAAGGACCACACTGTCTAACAAACAGGTTGAAGGCCTAAGAGATGCACGAGTCTTGAATTTTGTTAATTTCCTATCTACGCACTATTTCTATCTGTATGACACTAGTATAGCACATCATTAAACATCTAAAATTTTCAAGTAATATTCACAAACAAGCTTTTTGACTGTGAATGTAGTTGTTCTCATCATATCAAGATTATAATGGTTGTGTAAATGTCATATTAAAAAAAAAATAGAAGCACTGACCTTTCAAATAATTTACTCTTCATTTTCCTTTTTCGGACTGCTATTCATACATAACATGTTCAGTTTCGTTTGGTAACGGGAATTTCAAATTGTCCATATTTTATCAAATTAATGTACTAAAGTACACAATATATGTTAGATTTAATCAAATCAATCTACACATCTGATGCTTTTAAGCTAAATCCCTCCCTTCAACATGAAATCATCCAAAAGTGGATATATCACTCGTCTTCCAATGAACTTCGATTATTTTAAATATATTAGGCTCATTTGGAATTGATTTTACAACTTGTGACAGGCCAGGTCCTTGGATTTAACCAATTCACCACTTTAAAAGTTTAAATATCAGGATCTTATTCTTGACTAACAAGATAACCATGTTATACATCTACCATAATAATAAGCCACTGAAAACACCTTAAACCACCTGCAATCTGAAAATACAACTCCTGCAATATTCAATTGTTAGAAAGTCCAACCTAAAAGCTTAAGCTGATAGGTGGAGGAGACCACGCTAATATAAAGAGCATTTAGCACCCGTTGTCAATCGATGTGAGATAATAATTCAACACCTCCACTCACGTGCAAGCCGGATTACGAGCGCACATTCATGAAACGGATAGCACTGATTTTGATACCATATTAGAAAGTCCAACCCAAAATCTTAAGCTGATAAGTGGAGGAGACCACATTAATATAAATAGCATTTAGCATCCATTGTCAATCGATGTGGGATAATACTTCAATATCAATATAACACCACCCACTCCCCCGATCTACTTCATTTTTCCTTTCTTTACTTTATTTGTGTTTTAAAGGGGTGGGTAGGGTTTGCATCCTTGACACAACTCTGATTTCTCACAGGTTATTAAGTCACCAGGAATCATTTAACTTACATGAATGATAAAGAGTCATCAGGGACCAAAAAGGGGGAAACGACAGCCTCCAAAGCAAAAAGGAAAACAATGGACCTTCCAATATGACTTGCTAACATTTTCTACTTTCTGGTTTAAAAACCAGGAGCTCTCCTCCTAAGTTTACCCCTCCAATCCAGAAGGCAAAAATAAAGTGCCATTGGACCTTCTGTCTGAATTGGCAGACTTTGGTCATTAATTATTCATAGTGCTCGGATGACAATTGTGTAGCTCAAAAAGAAAATAAAACATAAAAGAGAAAAGATCCTCAGAAGAGAAAGTAAATGATGATTAAGAAGCAGCAATATCATGGTCACATCCCAGCCTATTCCTTCCGCTGTATCCAGTTCAGCTTCAGCCTACTTTTAATTGGACGAAAATATCAATGCCACATATATTTGAATAACAAGAGTGGAAGCCCAGAGCAAAACTTTTTCATTAGTAAATTACTTCGATCATTCTACAATTCTAATAATATCAAGCTTTCACGTCTCAGTGTAGTCCTGTTAAGTCGAACAATTTCAGGCTGTGAAGAAATGTTCCACATAGAAGTACCAGGTCAACTAATGTTCAAGTCAAAATAAACACAGTGCATATAAATTCAAGGCCCAAAGATATGGTTAATGCCGACAGAGAATAAAATGCCAAAACATGGTTTTCATGGCATTGGCAACTTGATATATCAACAACCAACTGAGGACAAAAGGACCCCCATTACTAGCGTGCTTCAATAAATTCGGATCTCATAGTTATTTCCAGCTAGTTTCCATTCTAGTAAAAACTTAAGAGCTCGTATCAAAGGGCGGGAAGTGGTAACACATCTGCATACATGAAGAGATATACAATTAGGGTTCTTGTGTGTACTTACGCAATGTATTTGTGAAGTTACAAAACATGCACACTGATGCTCGTGTACAAGCCTGTGCACTTATTGCATGTCCCCTTATCTATATGCTTTAGCACAACCAATGATCCTCAATGCTGATCCAATGTCATATTCACCGTCATTTGCTCCAATCTTTTGCAATATTTTTATAGGTCTCACTTTCACAATTTTCTTCAGAAAGATTTGCCACGACATAGCTAGCATTCATGTTAACAACTCCTACTGAGTAGGGTTTAACCAGTTCAACAAAGTCACAGACAAGAAGCACTTCTTCTGACATGTCCAATCACAATCAAGATGCTTATCCAAATACAATGGCCAAAGGACAGATTGCCAAATCAATAGTAGAACTAATGAAGAAAACTTGGCCAATGTCCAGACTGCAGATGCAATTACAAGGAACAACCAGCAATTGTAGATCTCACGACCAATATGAAGTAATGAAACATAATGTAGTCCTTCAAGCTGCAAGAAAATATGAAAGAGTATGAACCTCACCATTCTCTAAGCATAAGCGATCTGCCACTCTTGGGCCTTCATACAGAATGACTCTATCCAAAACATCAAGTTTCCAGGGTGACCAAAACCGATATCTTTCTTCAATTCCCAAACAATTACCAGCTTCATCTAGAGCGCCTCCATCATTACTTCTGAACTTATATCCTATAGATTTAGGAAGCATATTTGGTGAAACTGAAGTTGAGGGAAGAACTACTGAAAGACCATGCTGTGTCACCAAATACAGACATCCCTGGAAAGTGCAGCCAACTGCTTCTCCAAAGAAACCCCCTTTACTCACTTGGGGATTGAAAGGCTTGGTCTTGGTATTCATACAATGGTTGTTACAAACAACAAAATCCACTTGAAGATCACAATGCATAATTTGACAACCATCTTGCTTCAACGTGTGCTTTTTAGCTAGCCTAGTAATTCCCAGAGGAGACAAACTTATGCAGTCATCCTCTTTAAAACCATTCATGGGAAGAAAGACTGTGCGCCTGCACTTCGATTTTAAGCTTAAGCTATGAGAACTCTCATATGCTATCATTGAAGTGCCAGATCCAGTCAAAGATGAGTCATGCTGGCTTCTCATCCCACTCGAATACCAGTTCTGGCATTTCCGAAGCTCCTTACTCCCGTTGTTTCTATGTTGCATTCTTGAAACACTAGGATAAACCAACGAATGCCCTATGTCAAAACCACCAACCTCCCACCCAACTAGTATCCCCAACTGATGAATATGTGGCGGAAGCAGAGGATTCGAATAGTATTCGGCTGGTAAAAAATTGGCAGCAGATACTACATATATCACACCATTTTCATCAACTGCAGCTAATAGAGATGTGTATGAAGCAGCAACTAGCCTTGTAAACTTCTTTTTGACATTAAGATGACTGCTTTTGTGGGTCATCTCTTCAAAAGTCTCAACTGGTTTGACTTGTGGTTTACTGCCCAGGTGGATATTTTCTTGCTGAAAGGAGTTCAACTGAGAACTTACTCCACAAGCTTGCATGATATCTAAACTTCTCACGTACTCACCAGATATCGCTGCATAAAAACAGATTAAGCCAGAAGCAGCAAGGCAAACAACTAGACTATCAGAAAAGCAAAAGTCTGTCCACACACCAGGCAGGTCCATGGTTAAATGTTCCCCAAGCTTTACCGAGGAAACCCACTCAATTCCCAAACTAGCTAATCTGAGAACAACAATGAAAGTTCTGCTCCCCAATCTTTCACTGGCATCACTGCTGCTAATTGAACTATAATCTTCTGATGTTAAGACAAACCCAATCAAGTAATGCGAATTGCTGGAGAAAACTTTGGAACAACAATAGCGACAGTCAAGGCTGACACCTAAAAATTTGGATAATCTATCGGAGAGAAAATTAGGGCTGGAATTTACGGATGCATCATCAAGTGGATCAAGAATTGTTTCAGGTTGAATATCTTTGGCGTCTCCAACATATTGACCATTGGAAACAGCATCGGGAGATGAGAAATTATTGTCAAAAATGGTAAAAGAAACAACCTCAGCAGAGTAAGGATATGACAGCCCCGAAGGAAACTGGATCCAAATGTTACCATCTGATTCCACAGTTTCAACTCTGGTAAAGAAGGACCGCAACCACCTCTTTGAAAGCATGTTGCTTGATGACCCATCATTAGCAGAGCCTTTGTGAGTATCACCCGTCGTTTTTTCAATTCGCTCAGTGCAATCTCCAGAGACCTCAAGTGATGAGCTAGAAGGCTCTGTAGTTTGAGCAGTCGAAGCACAAGGGCCCCATTCCATCCACCTTCCTTCCCCAAATTTAGACTCCGGCATAAATTTAGTTCTTTCACTGGGCTTATCATGTTGACAAAAAGCATGAACCGTCACCCCCCGTCTCCCAGAAACAAAAAGAAATTCCTTGAATGGAGTATCCTGGTGATGACTATAAGTGTCACCACATGCACCCCAAGCCAGTGAAGTTACATCTGAAATAAATGGACAGCTACCATCTCCGGGAAAGCTACTACGATAAAAAAACTCAACATCGCATTCTGTTGCCTGTCCAGATGTGGATGGCAAATCATTCCCTAAGTTTGACGTATTATGTTCTGTCAAAGGTGAAGAACCATGATCCTGAGAAGTCCCATCGTCGCCACAACACTCTGAATAATTTACGATATTCGAGTTCCCTGCAGCAAACACACATCAACGTAACATAAGGCCAATTTGCATTGGAAGAAAGAACTCTAGAACCCTAATATAACAAAAGAATCACACAAAAGAATCTCTCGCCCGTACCGAGATCATAGAAACCCGAGTATTCGGTAGAGACGATACCTCTAAGCAGAGGAAGGAGCGCGGCTTCGCACTGATACGAGAGCAGCAGCAGCAGCCGCCGCGTAGGGGACATAAAAGCCTCGCGAAACTCCGACAGGTTGAGCTCGGCCCGAGACGGGCTCCATTTCTGCAGCTGCAGCACCGCCGGAGCACGACTGCCGAGGGGATACTCCATTCCCGAATTCCGCCAGCTATCAATCGGAGAGAAGAAACATTAAATGCGCCCACACCCTCACGCAAGCCAGAAGCATCACTGAAACCACTCGGCCTAATCCGCCAAAGCCCCGAGGAATCGGGCGCCGGCCGACGCGACGCAATCGCCCGACGCTCGAGGCGCGAGCGAGACAGATCTAAAGAGAACCGCAAGAGAGGCTCGCGGACGCGGGGACGAACAATCGAGCGGATGCGGGAGCGAACGGAGCAGTCGTCAAAGGCGCGGAGGAGGAGGGAGAAGAAGCCGCCCGAGCCGAAGGGGGTCCGAGGCGAAGGACGCGGCGTTCATCCAAGGCGCGAGCATAGACGGCGGCGGCGGCGGCGGAGGCGGAAGACTCCGATCGCCGGAGCGAAGGGGGCCCACTCCCTATCTCCCTCTGTCCGTCCCTCCGGCGTCCCGTCGTTCGGTTGCCGCGCCGTTCGCTCGGGGGACCGCTCGATCGATGCGGCGGGGGGCTCCGCCGATTCCGGTTTATCCGCGCGCGCAGGCGAGAGAGGAGATGCGGAGAGGGGAGCTTTCGTCGGAGGACGATCGATATCGACGGCGGAGGAAGGCGGAGGGGGGAGGAGGGAGGAGGAGGAGGAAGCTTCCGCGATTGGCCGAGGGGGGGTGGTGGTGGTGGTGTCCCGCCGGTTAACGGGAGGGGGGGGCGAGGTCGACGCGGAGGGCATTATCGTAAATCCGCCACTAACCATCGCAGTTTGTCCTCATCCGGCGAAGTTGCGTGCGTGCTTTTTCTTTTTGGGTTTTTTCCTCGGGGTGACGTCAGTCGTTTCTTTTTTTTTCCAATTTTTTTATTTTCTGAAAATCTGGAATGAAATTTTTTTTTTTCGAGGGAATTGTAAAAATTATCCGTGCGCCGCCTGCGTGTACATTTTCGCAACGCAACAAACCTGGGCTGGGAACCAATCTTCCGTCCTGATTTTGGGTTAATTTCAAAAACAAAAGCAGAAACTTTAGATTGAGAGATGTCTTCTGACTCGAACTTTTTTTTCCCGTAAAAAAGCACAAATTTTAGATCGAGGGAAAATTCTGGCCCGAACTTTTTTTTGTCCCGTAAAAAAGCACCAACTTTAGGTCAAGTGACAATTCTAGTCCCAACTTTTTTTTGTCACATAAAAAATCACAAACTTTCACAATGATCGCAAATCTGGCCTGTTGACTTTCTATATAAAGTCACCCTTGTTTGAGAAAAAAGATTATGGTGATGAGCCTAGAGAATCTCATCCAAGGCGTCTGATCAAAGAGATTCAATTTGAAGATATTTTTTACTTGCCGGTAAAATGAAGAAGACGAACAGTTTTACCGTTATTCTTCAAGTTGTGATTCAAAGAATAAGACAATGAATAGTGCTTTAAATACAGTTAGCAAGTCATGTGGATTTATTGCTAAGATGGAATAGTCAAGTTGGATAATCAATGATTTTAAGTCAATGGAGGACAGATTTGGGATTTAAGAAAAAAGTTGGTGCTTTTTTACGAGACAAAAAAAAAATTGGGGTCAGAATTGGCACTTGACCTAAAGTTTGTGCTTTGTTAGGGAACAAAAATAAGTTTGGACCAGAATTGTCCATCGACTTAAAGTTAGTGCTTTTTTATTGGACAAAAAAAAGTTCGGGCCAGAATTGTCCCTCGACCTAAAGTTAATGCTTTTTTTTTGGAATTAACCCTCCTGATTTTAGGATAAGTTTGATATTTTTTTCCATCTAAGTATTGATGAAAAATCATTAACGTATTGAAATTAGTGCAAAAACGATGGCCTAGTCGGGGATGGTATCGCTTCGTGAGAGATTTGAACCACATGAACCTGATTGGATCGGCATAATTCTCTAAGTGTAAGTTATCGATTCTTCATTCTTTATTTCATGTCGACGTGACTTTATATGGCTTCAGCATTCAAGTCAACAGATTTGGACCACATCTAGATGGACACTTGAAATATTCCGTAATACCATGGTCGGAAAATATTTTTGGAGGCCAAATTTGACGGAAAATAAAGTAGCATGACCGAAATTGGACCATTTTTACAATTTCTCCTCCCTTTTTTCCTTGGTTCAATTCCAATTGCTAAGTGGAGTTGCGACCCGCTTGGCCAGTAACAAGCCCGCCCGAACACAATCAACTCGAAGGGCAAATGGACGGGCTCGGGCAACAATTATTGCCTCTGGACTAGCTCTCCCGAACCCAGTCGATTTTACATAGGCTAGAACCCAATATGTTACGCACGCAATGCGATTAATCGTTAGAGAGCTTAGCTTATAAAAAGTCTCGATCATTTAACCATTATCGTGCATTTCCGCGCATGTAAACCGTGTTTAATTTTTTCCAATCAAGCTTATAGAACATGATTAACGAAAGCTCTTGCATAAAACTATTAGGGCAGTTTTTTTGTTCTTGAGGCGATTATCTTCACTGTTTCTCAGGCCACTTTTTACCTTTGAGCCCTTACATTCTTTTTTAAAACTCTTAATTGAGTCATTTTTATTTAAGGATGATTAGTAATTCTAAGGTGGACACCAAAATTTAAATGTTTGCTTTTATATAATAGCATGAATACTCGCGTACGTACCCATACTTCGCATGGATTTTGTCTTTTATAATTTTATGGGAAATTTCTATTTATCTACTACATTAGATTTTGGAGGGGCTACTTCCAAAAAAAAGCACTAACTTTGCCTTGAGTGATAATTTTGGTCCGAACTTTTTTTTTGTCTCAATAAAAAGCACAAATTTTTACTCGACTCCTAAATCTCGCTCACATGATGTAAAACTTTCAAATTATTAAGGTTTAAGTGAAAATTTGCAATATTTAATGAGACAAAAAAAAGTACGGGTCAAAATTATCACTCAAGACAAGGTTTGTGCTTTTTTTTTAAATTTTTGGAGGTATAGCTATGACAATAATCATACAATCTTCTATATGTGATAGAAACAATGAAAAAAATTAAAAGAAATAATGTGAAAACAATATAAATCACTATTAATATATATCATAAGTTCACTTCACGCTAATTAGATAATTTAAATGCCCTATTTTACTATATATGTAAATATAATAATGAATTTATCTTTGACTAATTTTACTTATAATTTGACGTGATTTCTTTCTTACTTCCTTTACGCAACCGATATTGCTTCATTTAGAAATAATAACAGACGTAACCCGCACTTTGCGCAGATTATATGCACAGATTTATAACATGATATGCCTATATATTAAAGCCAAAACCATAATTTGTCTAACATTTTGCTTTCCAAAATTTTCTTTGCATAAAAAGCTAAAAGTTACCCACTATTTTCTCTTCATTAACTACGTTAAGTAACCACTCAATTTACATATCTTTAATAACTAATCGACTCCAATTTTAGTCGCTTAAACATAGTCACTCGATCCTTAAAAACCCGATTCTTTCTCTTTAATTATAACCCGCCTGCGATTACACACAAGTGTAGTTGTGCCTCACCACTAATAAACAGCTAAGGATGAAGAAAAGTTCTCGTTATTGTAATGATATTATATGATGTTAATATTAATCAAACATTATCATTTTTAGCAACTTATGTAATAAAACAGTTGACGTACTATTTTGACCTATTATATTGCGTTTGTTTTTTCCTATGTCTCAAGTACACGTAATTTTACATCTATTCATATTAGCAAACGTATTTGTATACTGATATAGAATATTATGTTAATATTAAGGTGGAACACTCTTTAATACAAAATTACAATTAGAATAAGAAACAACCAAGAGAAAAGGGAGGGAAAAGGGTAGCTAATAAGTAGCAAAAAGATGGAGAGTGCAAGGAATGTAATCTTTAAAATGAGAATGATCAATTTCATACAAATTAAAGTCCTGATCAATTTCATACAAATTAAAGTCCTGTATATCAATTTTAAAGGGAAATATTAAGGAAGAATAGACGGACGTCTAGTGATATTCGGCTAACGTTGGCTTGTATTATCGCATTTAATATCATGAAAGAGAACACCTAGGACTGATAATTGTCCTATTGAACATGTATAAGAAATCCTCTCCAATCAATATGGTTTACTTGGTGTAATGTATGTTTCACTTAATAATGAGCGAAGATGCGGCGGTTACTGAGCATATCAATAAATCCAATGTGTTTGTTAGTCATTTGGGTTCATTGAAATTGACTTTCGTGGTGAGATACATACTTTCTTTCTATTAGCCTCATTGCCTCTTAATTGGAATACTGCCGTTACTGCTATTAATAATTCCTTTGGGTCAAGAAAAATAACGTTTGATGAGGTTTGCAATTTGATTCTGAGTGAAGACAGTAGTAGGAAGAATCTAGTGAACCTGTGCCTATTGCTTTCGTAGGTGAAAGTAGAAGAAGAGCTAATACTTATGCTAGCACGAGTAGTGCAAACACAAACGGATGTAGTTGGTCTAGGATGGTGGTGTTGTATGTTGGAATTGTGGCAAGAGAGGGTTTTTCACAATGGATTGTCTCAAGCTAAAATGGTAAGGGAATTAGAAATAAGTCTGCTGATGATGTTACAATTGTAGCTAAAAGTAATTCGCATAAAGCTGATCTATTGTTGTTTGTCACTAAGGATTCCTTGTTTGATAGATTGGTTGTGGATTTTTGTTGTTCATTTCACGCTATATCAAACAGTAATTAATTTACTACTTATTAGTGCACGAATAATGGTAAAGTGCGATTGAGGAACAACGCTATGTGCATTCTTATAGATGTTGGCGACGTTAGAATCAGAATGCATAATGATATTGTAAGGACGTCAACTAGAATGGGATGTCTCTGAGTTGAAGAAGAGACTGATTTCCTAGAGTGCATTGGATTCAGCCAGGTATCGATATACTTCAAAAAGTGGAGTTCTAGAAGTTTTTTGAGGTACCCTAATGATAATGGAAGGAATCAAGCACAATGATATATCTGAGTTTCAAAGGGAAAATAATGGATTACGTCAAGGAGATGTTGGTGCGTCTCTTCGATAGCTTGAATTGTGGCATATGCCATTGGGATCCTTTAACAAGAGAAGCGTGAAGGTTTTAAGTGAAAAAAATCGGTTGTGTAGTTACGTGGCTGAGGAATTGAATGTATGCAAGTGATGTGACTTAGGCAAACGACAAAAAATACAATTCAATATGACTATCAGAGAAACCAAAGAATCTGCTGAATTAATTCACTTTGATGTTCACAAGCAATTATGGTTTCCTTTGAAGAAAAGTGTCAAGTTTATGCTAACAATTGTGGAAGACTACTCTAAAAAGTCTTGGGCGCTTGTGCTAAGGCTGATGTTGTTGATAGGATCCGGCAATTGAGAGCTTTGATTAAGCATGGAGTTCTACTTGGAGCTGTTAAACAAATTCTACATAAAACAAGGCATGGTGAGACACTGCACTAGTACTAGTGAACCGCAACATTACAGAGTTCATGAGCAGAATATTACTAGAGACGGCCTATAAAATGCTCTCTAATGCTGTTATGGTTAGAAAATTCCCATCGAATGCGCTTAGTACAATGAGCTACCTAATGTATAGATCCCCATTGATTGTGATTGGATGTCAGACTCTTAAGGAAATGTGGTCAAGTAACGCTGCTGATTATTTTGTTCTAATCTTATTTGGCTGTCCATGCAATGTTCGAGTGAGTGATGGTAAGCTCGATAGGAGGGCAAGAAAATGCATATTCGAAAGCTAAATATAAGGAGAGCAGGACTATCGCTTGTGGTGCCCGAAATTAAATTTTCCTATTTTCAGCAAAGAAGTTACATTTGATAAATCTCCAATTATTTAGATAAGAGTGATTGTAGCAATGTTTATATAAATCTGGACGATCTTCGGCTCAAGATGGCTAGCAACCAGAAACTCCAGTGGTTGCGGTTACTTGCATTGTAATTAACACATACGATACTTGTAGTGAAGTGGAGCCAATAAAGCCAACGGTTGTTGTAGCTGCCGAGTTTAATGAGGTACATGTTCCATATTTTGACAATGTGGATACAACAATAGTTATGCTTTATCTGTGTTAGATGAGATTTTGTTTGTGAATCGTTGTGGACCTGTTAAAGACGCATGCAAAGTTGGCGTTTGATGAGATCCATGATTATGAGAAGTTGAAACGGCTTGGACTTGAAAAATCTTTGTGACGATTGAGCCATGAGGGACTGTGGGAAGGTAGCAGTGATTAGGTTCGGTGAAGTAATTATGACTTCGCTTGAACATCCGGTCAAGGTACAGATTGTTAGATATATATGGAGTTTGAGCCCATAAAGGAAACCCATCCAAGAAGATTTCCTAGTTTAAGTTGATTTCCTAATTTGAGTAGATTTTCTATTTGGATCCAAGTTTTTTTTATATAAGAAGTGAGTCTTCTTTGTGAAGAGTATCCAAGAAAAGCTTTTAGCCGTAACAATCAATTGTGTGATGTACTCACGAATTACATCTGGAGTGTTTGAAGCTGTGAAAATCCGGTGTTAAAATTTTGCGTAATTCCTTTGTGAGATTGAGAGATTGTTTTACAAGAAAATATGAGGGCTACACAGTATGACTTATTGAGTATAATTGGGGCTGGGAAACACCAAAAGTATTTAAGTGACTCGATTATGACTATAATCCTTATTGTATCGCTTGATCTATAGTGAAATCTTATTTTATTATCCCCATGGGGTAAGTCTTAACAATCAAATCACGTAAATCTTGTATCCGATTTATTTCCGTGTTATGTTGATTTTTATTACTATATCGCTTGTTTTTCGTAATAGTATCTTAGAGGTGTACTTCTGCTCAAGCCGTTTGCACTGTATGGGAAATGAACTATCTTAAAGATAGCTTCTTGGAAGTGCCTCGTCTCAATCGGATTCTTCTATAATTTCCTCTTCCGATTTTGTTCGGCTTGAACTTGTGACCTTTATTCCCCGATGATATGAACACAGAAAGAGTTCCTAAGCAAAAATGGTGGATCGAGAGCCTATTTATACCCAATTTTCAGGCAGAAGAGAATCCTCCGTAGCAACAAAGTCTTTGCCGCGACAGCTGACTCTCTACTGCAGCAGCTGTTTCACAGCCATGGCGTTTGTTTCTTAGTGTCGCGGGTGACCGTTTCACTACCACAGCATGAAAGAGGAATTCATTTAAGCAAGAGCTTTTACGTGCAAACTACCTTAACCACAGTTGTGCTTGATATGATTTACTTGTCCCTAGTTTGGCTTGAGTTTGTTACGCTTGATAGAGTTGGAATTAAGTTTCAAACGAAGGGGATCTCGAGGTCAAATCTTGGTCAACGACGATAAACTTACGCAAAAAAAAAAAAGAGGTGCCTATAGTTGGTAAGTAACTTCCACAAATGTTGGCAAGTTGGAAAAACAGTTGATAACTAGCGGAAATGATGTTGGCAATCTGTAATTAGAGTTGCTAATTTCGAATTAGTTGGTATTTTCATTGGTGAAAAATTTAGCAAATAACTCAAAAAAGTTTATAAGTAACTTTAGTTGATGTTGGCAAGTTGGAAATAGAGTTGGCACCTAGCGAAAATAATGTTGGCAATCTGAAATTGGAGTTGGTAACTTAAATTTAGACGGCGACGTCACGATGAAAGAGGAATTAAAAGTAGGTAAGTAACCCAAGTAATTAACGTTGGTAAGTAACTCAAACAGAAATGTTGGCAAGTTACGAAAAATAGTCGGTAACTCACAAAATATTGGCAATCCGAAATTGGAGCTGTTTCGGTAATCCGGAATTGGAGTTGGTAAGCTAGTAGGTTTAAAGATTGGTAAGTAACACATACAATTTTGATAAGTGACGCAAGTTAAGTTCGCAAATAACAACTTCATCAAATGTCAGCAAGTTGGAAAAATGCTATAGTTGGTAACTTTAAACTGGGGGTATCAACACCAAATGATTTATCCGAACCGGAACACGACCCGACCCGACCAACTTGTTATCTAATGAATTGATTCGGGTCAAGTTTTTGCGTTTCGGATCATGTCGGGTTCGGGTCAATAGTCCACACCTCTTTTATGATTCGGGTCGGGTATCATGGAAACCTGCCCTGACCCATTGACACCCTTTAAACTAGTTGGTAACATAGTCTATAAGAAAGGCGTTTACAACTACTGCTATTTAGCGTTACATCGTGAGATCAACTTATTATCTAACGAATCGACTAGTTCCGGATCATGTTGCTAGGTGCCAATGAGGAATCTCCATCTTTCAGAGAAGTCTCGACACCAAAACTCTCAGAAAGCAAGAACGACGTCCAGCTCTCCCCACATTCCGATGCCAAAACAAATAGTCCATTTACACAGTCGCTTCATTCTTAATCTCACATCAGAACCCCCTCCACACATAAATCTCTTTGGTTTACATGTCCCAGATCGAAAAATTTACATCGTTTCTTACATCGCCATGCTATATTGAAGGTACAAGGAGAGCATCAATGGAAGAAATCCACCTTGCATAGCGTAAAAATTCTGATGTCTAAATGAACGAAAAATGAAGTCGGACGATGATTTTACCAGACGGTATAAATTTGATCGATAGTCTGCCCTCGGTCGAATTCGACATGTAGATCTCATCAAGAACCCAAAATGGCCGGGGAATCTTGTGAAGAAAATGTAGCAATGTGTCTAAAACATGCTAATGATTTACCATAAAGAGAATTTGCTAAGGGACAGACTTAACTGAAGTGAAAGGATATCCTGAAGAGCACACATGGCTTATTTGAAGCAATTGTTCTTCCAACTGAGCATCCTCATGCATTATATGAAATGGAAAGTATCTGCATAAGCAAATAAACACAACCAAAGAGATTTCAAGGCCGGAAGCAAATCATTCATAAAAATTAGTACTTGGAGAACATTAGAACTCAGATATGCTTGTGCAAGTCATGGATAGCTTATCTAGGACGAACAATTTTACTTGATGGCTCATGACATCTGACGTACTTAGAAAGTATTTTGATCACTATTGACATTATCAAGAGGGAAAATTTCAAATAAAGATATGAAATTAGGGTCATTTTCTCAAAAAGGGTCTGGAGTGGACTTTGTCTCGTATAAGGACCTAATCTCCATTCAATTTAGGGAGTCATCCAATTTTTTTCAGTTGCAATTTTTTGGACGAAATTGCCCCTTTTCTAATCGTTGGAAAAAGTCAACCTGCGAAGATTTGGTCGACCGTGAGTTTAAGCCCTTATTTGAGACTACCTTGGCCACTTTAAGTCTTTATTTGAGACAAAATCCATTTTGGGGCCTTCTTTTATGGAAATTGACCCTACTAACGGCCCTTATTTAAAATTTTCGCTTATCAAGATGAGAGATTTCTCCGAAGCATCATGTCATCCTCCTTGATCAGCTTCACCATTCGTTGAATCACTTAAGAGAATGAAAATAATCCCTTGTTATCAAGGAATGTGACTGAGTTCGACCTAACTATTTTATGTATATACGGTAAATCTTGAGTGGGAGGTTCACAGTGTAGGGTTTCTCAAGTGCTAAAAACGCAGCGGAATCTATAAATTGAAACCCTAGACAGGATCCATACGTATATTGAAATCTAAACAGAAGTTCGACACGTACCTTTTGCAGATTGAAAGTAAATTGACAATCGATTGTGTCTGGATTAGCGCTAGGGGTGTCAATGGATCGGGTCGGGTCAGGTTTTCATGATACCCGACCCGACCCGAAACAATGAATATGTGTGATTGGCCCGACCCGAAACAAGACCCGAACATGATATAGCCACAATCGGGTCGGTTCGGGTCATGTTCGGGTCGGGTTGGGTTCGTGTTTTGGAAAGAGGGGACTCTGTTGAGGAGCTTTCTAATGCCAGAAAAGTGGAATCCCCCAATCTTTTGTCCAAGGGAGGATGCCTAGCAGGCTGGTGCTACCAGATTAAAACTTGCAGAAAAAGATTATTATAGGTTGACATCAGTTTCACATATTTCATGGATGGAAATGCAAAGTATAGTGTGGCTCTAACCAACATGTGAAATATGCAATGGAATTCGGCAACACAAGTTCTTCCAAAGAAAGAATATATCGCATTTTCACTACAATGGATGTAAAAACAGAAATTGGTCATGTTCAAAGACCAGCAGAATGACCTCGTAATATACAATCAAAAAACACGAAAATGCACTCTTTATCACTTACAAAAGTTCTAGAATGGAAGACTTCATTCAATTACTTCCAACAAAACCTGCTAAGCCTTCATAAAATCTTAACGATGGGATCCCAATAATGCGCATCATAATCCTCAAAGCATCCCACCTTATTTCAATATTCCAAAATAGAAAGGGACTTAACAAAACATCAAATAATCAACAGAAAACAAACATATAAAGAAGAAACACCCAGACAAAGCATATATTCCATTCTTCCCTTCTTCGAATAAGCTCGATAACCCAGAGGGGCTCAAGCAACTTGCTCAAGCATCAACACCAGAAGATAGCAACACCATCCATGAAACACAGCCAACAACAAAGAACAGAAGCACCAAAACCCAACTTTCAATCAAAGCACGAAAGCAAATCAAATCTCAGCACACAGAGAGACCCAGAAGATCGAAACCCCCTAACGAAGTGCGCGGTTTCACCCACACCCAAAATGAACAAACAAGAAAAATGAAAAGTGGAATATCGCATCACACTACAACACAGCAACCCTCGAACTCCCAACAATTCAGCCCTCCACCAATCCCTCAGCTAGCCGAACCCCAAAAATCACCAGATCAACGCATCACCGCCCAGCCACAGTACCGCATTGCCGTTCAGATCCGAGGCGAGACGGAACCCGCACGGATCAGATCGAGAAAAGCGACCAGGAACTCACCGCATCACTTCCGACGACGAGGAGAGGCGGTCGAGCTCGTCCATCATGACGGCGAGGTCGTCGTCGATGCAGCGGGAGATGAGGGCGTCGAGGTCGGAGTCGGGGAGCTGGTACTTGAGGGCGAAGGGGGGCGCGACGGCGAGGGTGGGGGAGACGGGGGAGGCGGCCGTGGAGGCGCGGTCGACGGTGACGATGCGGGTCTCGCCGCCGTGGTAGAAGAGGGACTTGGAATGGGAGCGTGGGGCCACGCCTACGCTGTAGCTGCACATGAGGCGGAGCTTCGAGGAGGCAGAGGGTCGCGGCGGCGGCGACGGCGGCTCCATCGCGGCGGAGAGAGACGTGGAAGAGAGATTGCAAAAGAGATTGCAGAAGAGGTGAGAGAGGGAGAGAGATGTGGAAGAGAGATGTAAGGGTTTCTTGTTTGGGTTTTCTTGTTTGGGTTGGGCTTGGGTACCCAAGCCTAACAGATCCAAACAATACCCAATTTTGTTATTATTCTGCAAACAGTTGAGATCCAGCCCGGCCCAATAAGAAAATTTCATGTTCGGGTCGGGTCGGTTCGTGTTTCTGTTCGGGTATTGTGTTTGGTTTTGACACCCTTAATTAGCGCCTCAAGTATTGCGCCTCTACCGGTATCCACACACACGAACGGAAGTCTCCAACGATCCAAGTGCTAGCTAAAGATCTTGGACTTCTTTTCCTGATCGCCTTTGATCTTCGAGACTCTCTCAAAGATCTCTAAACAGAGAACGATTCTCTTTGTATTCTCTTGGAGGCGTTTTTCTCTTTTTTAGAGTTTTTTTTTGTCACCCACACGCTATATATATACATATATCCTCATTATCTACGCAAATTAAAAGAAGTAGGGCCGGGAGATTTGGGCCCGCCAAACTGTTCACCTTCAATCGTACGTTTAATCGTTATCTCATAACGTGCACGACCGCCTAGATAAGTTGAATAGGAGAATAAATTAAAATCTACTTCTTATTTTAAGTAGATCCCGGCGCACAGAAAATATTAACTTAATTCGCTATTGTGTGCGACCATGTAGGTTCACTAAACATTAGCTGTGTGCTCAAAACCCTTTTTGGCCCATAAGTCATAAGCGGTCTCTAGCAAGACATTATGACTACCTAAGTATAGTGAAGGTCGGTTTTTCGACACAACCTAATCCATAACTAATAGTAGAGTATCAACCTTGATTGATTCCTAGGGCAGATCACTAACACACAGACCATCCTGTCCCTAACCACTCAAGAAATACGACGATTGCATACTACATTGTCGAGTGTATATGTCAAGACTAGTCGTGCATGCCATGAATGAAACGTTACATGTTGAGCAGTGATACTTGATACAATGATACATCGTTCATATCGTTGTCTTGTTTTCATATCGTTGTCTTTTTTTTTGTGTAAATGTAAGTAGTATTTATAAGCTGACGTACAGAAGCTTAGGGGCATTCCCTAGCATTACAAATAGAACTAAGATTACAAAAAAATGGAGTGGGGGAGTCTCTATATAGTAGCCAAAGTTTCATTTGTTCGGGACGGTCTAAAAGATTTGTAGTGCGAAGCTCGCCCTCTGACAATTTTGCGAACTTTAGCCAAAATGATAAGGGCGTCATTTGCCTTTTGTTGGAAGCGTCTACGATTACGCTCCATCCAAATGCAGTAAATGATCGCTAGGAAAGATACCTTCAGAAATCTCGCCGCCAAGTCCTTACCTTTTGTAGCCTTGATCGTCCATTTAAGTTCATCATTCCATCCTTCTACAGGGCGTCGAATTCCGTATTGTGCAAGAATAGTGCGCCAAATGCTTCCGGTCCGTGCCTTTGGAAGAATAGATGGTCTCATTTTCCAGGACCGGACATACAAAAATTGCAATGAATATCTACTTCGGGTTTCCAACGTGATATGATTTACTCGTTGTTTGTAGTCTATCTCTACAAACTAGCCACCGATGAAGTTATGCTTGCTAATACCTCCTTTCCAGATCAATTGGGACCATTCCACAGCCGGTCTCACATTTCTGGTTTCATCGTATACCTCTTGGCAACAATATCTTGGTCTAGATATGATTGAAGCTAAAGCCGGTCTTAGTTGAAGAATACAACGCCAACTCCATGCCATAGAGCCCTTGATTTCAAGTTCATATCGTCGTCTTGTTTTGTCACAACGTTAAAGTTGTCTTTAAAACCAAGGAAAAAAGAGAGGAAAAGAACGTAATGGGAACAAGACTTCGTAATATTGAAAGTAATGGTTTTAGAAAAATTTTAGTTCAATTAAAGTTAAAAAATAGGAGGAAAATTTTTTCAAAAGAAAGTCGAGATAGATGTCGCTCATGGAGATACCACATGTTAGTCGAGCAACCCATTGAAAGTGCTTTGAAGCGCCACTATCCATTTATTTGACAAGAAAGATCCGTTGAATCTAGGCCTAATTCCCTAAAAAACCCCCAATTTTAGGTCAAATCTTAAATCTGTTCCGAACTTTTTTTTGTCTTAGAAAAACCCCAAAACTTTAAATCCAGTCCCAAATCTACCTCGAATTTTGTTTTGCGTAAAAAAAATCACCAAAATTCAATTTATTTTAAAAAATTTACCCCCGTGATCTAGTATACATCGATAACAAATCCACGTCAACAAAGTAATGGTTTTTTTTAGACAAAGAAAAGTTCGGAGCAAATTTGGACTGAACCTAAAAATTAGATTTTTTTTTAAATTAAAAAAAGTTTTTTGGGGTGGATTTGTTATCGTCCCTAACTTTCATATCTTAGAATGGTTTTATTTTGGAGAATTTCAATAATTTTTATGTGATTTGATTTGTTATTGAAGTGGAAATGCGACGTCGATTTGTACCTATCGCCCCATTACTTTGCTGATGTTGATTTGTTATCAACGTGAAAGTGCCACATCAAGTTGGGACTAGATCATGGAGATATATTTTTTAAAATAAATTGAAATTTGCTGACTTTTTTATACATAAAACAAAATTCTGGACAGATTTGAAACTGAACTTAAAGTTTGGGATTTTTTCTTAGACAAAAAAAAGTTTGGGGCAGATTTGGGACTGGGTCTAAAGTTTGGGATTTTTCCTAAGACGAAAAAAAGTTTGGGAGAGATTTGGGACTTGACCTAAAGTTTGGGGTTTTTTAGGGAATTCACCCCGTTGAATCTATTTCAAATCTAAACACGAGACATATTTAATTTTATGATTAATACCATAAAAAATCACAAATTAGTATACCTGTAACAAATTTATCCAATACTAATTTTTTGACCATCGAAAATCCCAAACTAGTACACGTATGATAAATTTACCCTCCATTAGTTTCGTTAAATTTTACCGTCAATATGTTTTCTCTGTACAAAATCGCTTTTTATGTCAATCAAATCGACACTTGTGTCACGACGACCCTTCCATTGTCACCCGCTGGATCGTCAACGTCCAGTGCGCCCACCTACTTTGGCTGAATCGGCCCATCGTCGACCTCGACATCGAGTGGCGCTCGAACCTCGAGCCTAGCGTCGTCCACCTTGTGGCTACCTTGCAATTGTGCGTCGGCAGCAGTTGCCTCGTCTTTCAAATCCTCCATGCCAAGCACGTCCCCATTAGGGGTGAGCGGTTCCAGGTTCCGGTTCGGTTCCGCTTGGAACCTGGAACCTACCCTCGGGTACAGGTTCCTCATTTTTTGGAACCTGGAACCTACCCGTCAGAACGTGGAACCTGGAACCTACCCTGTCACAGGTTCCAGGTTCCAACAGGTTCTTTTTTTTAATTTCGTTTTTAATTAAACAAAACGAAAATAAACGCAACAATGACTAGGTATTAAAAAACAATATTTCGCTTAGTAGAAAGGGGATATTATCTAACAACCTAGATCCATTTATGCAGAATAGAAAACACCAAGAGTTCAGCATCATATAACTTTATTATCAATGGATCAGTGCAAATATAATTAGTAGAATGATATTGTCAATAAAAGGCCAATTAGCAACACCAATAGCAAACCTCATTAATCTAGGAAAGAAACTTAAAACAATATAATAGTGGAGGAGGCAAAAACTAGCTAATTTGGAATCAATATTGCAAAGAGATATCTTCTATACAAAAAGCAATAGAGGACATATCGCAATGTCGTAAAAGCATTTATACAGCTAAGCCCCTTTTGTGCAAGGCTGACTTTGCTGATGTTCAACTTAAAAATCATTGGAAGGGATAAAACGAAAATAAATCAAAGGAAAACAATCCAAAGGTCCACCACTTAAGACATATATGTTTACTGTCAGAAATCTTCTTACTTTCGACGCATAGGCGGGCCGGTGGCGGCCCCGGCACCAGATATGCGATCAACATTGTAGGAAATGCAAAATAGACGAAGAGGAAAGGAAACCTACCTCTTGCAGCATAAATCATTGCCAATTCCTGAAACCGAATATCATAACAGATGCCTATACCAATACGTCCAACGTCTGCATAGAGCCAAAAAGAAAAGAAAACAATTCAAACAACAAATAGACCAGAAGACTCAGGCAACTAAATGTTCCATACATAGTTACTTAAGGAAAGAAAAGTTACCTTGTGGTGCTTGGCTTTCAGCACTCCAATGGAACCAAAAACACGACAAGCGTTGTACAATCGATCACCACATCTTTACGGGATTGAACGCCCACTATGGTAACCTTCAAGGCCTTAGCGGCTTGAGATAACATAGCAGTGAAGGAGATGAACCTCCATCAATGTCCTCGGCATAAACAAGGAAGCTATCATTTGAATAGGGGCTGTTCCATATTTCTGGCACGAGTCAACAAAACCATGAGGCAAAGCTGCGTGATTTTTCCTTCCTTTTATAGAACGGCGCAGTTGCAAATATGGCTGATTTTTTTGGAAGCCAAAGCTTGCGATATAAAAACATAGCAATTACATAAGCATCAATAAGAACTTAGCCACGAAGTCACCCAAAGCGATGAAACAGGACACGTGCACACTCAAGATGCTTTTATCCATTCTTTCTTCTAGTGCACGCCTTCACAAAAGGGCATTTGATAAGGTATACAAAGTTCTTGTAAGCCATAAATTTCCCATTTTGCAATCGGGAGGCACATCCAAACTTTCCTGACTACACGAAATCATGCAAAAAAAAAATGTCATTTCCATAGAGTTAGATGATTGGATTATCATGAGATAACAATGAGTTATTCTAAATCAGAAGACGATCAACCAGGAAGATACATGCCTTTCCAGCTTTTCAAAGAGCGACACATTGTGCCTCTCGCTTACGAAGGGCGACATACATAAACCCAGATACTGGTATCTAACAT